TTCGCCAAAGTAGGAATGCAAGCAAAATACATACCCAGAGCAAGGCAAATTACCGGTGATGATGGATTTGCGCAGACATGTCGAGGGTCTCGGCGATTCCGGTCTGGTCGGTCTTTGACTTAAAGTACGTGACACCAATTGCATCTTCTTCAAACGAAATGTGAACAATGTGAATCGTCTCTGTCGATTTAGAGCGCGCCATCAAGTTCCAAGAGATCACAAGGAATAGGTGTACAAAACCGCTGTCCGACGTTCGGAGGGATTCTTGGCAAAGTGCCTCATACATGCTAAATCCAAGCGGCCGTTTGCCAGAGTCCTTCAGGTTTGACGTCTGCTCGTCAGTTGCAGTTAGACGGTGCATTCCTACGATCGTGGTGTGATGAGTGCAGATGATGATGATGTATATTAATAGACCTGTGAAAATCGTTTTGAGTTTTGTCGCGTACTCCATTGGCATCGCAACGTCTTCCCGCTTGTTGTACCACCGGAGTGCTTCGTGGTATAATGACATTGTTCCGACCTTGACGGGTGTGTTTTGGTAGACCCAAACGATGAACTGGACGAAGTGCGTGTACTTGAATACATTCAAGTCGATGGTGCCGTCGTCTTTCAAAAGGTCAGTCTCGCCGGTCAAGTGAATCCACTTGATGAGTTGTCGTAGCCCGGACTCATATCTCTCTTTTGTGCTGTCAGCGAGGCATGAGTCGATGATGTCCTCAAGTGACGTCTCCTGTCGCTGTAGGATCGCCATCGGCGCTGGAGACTTCACAAAACCAGTTTTTTGTCCAATTAATTTTGCTATTTCGTACGTAGGCTGTGTGGCCTATGATTTCCGATAAACTACCGTTCTTCAAGTATATTGGCAGCTGTATACCGATCAAAGACAATTTACTCGCGTGAATGCGAAAATGTAGGCCAGTCGTCCTACTCCTCTCTTGATGTTTGTATACTGGGCCTACGAAATCGGATGAATGATGATGGTACAACGCTTGCGAGTTTTTTCCCGGTTCACTGTATTAGCGTAGTGCGCATATAAATATATCGCGAAATATTATCCGCGATTTCTAGTGTGATCCCTTTTGTGATAGGTTTAGATATTTTTGCATTTACACCACCACACTGCAAACTCTCTTTTACGACGCAGGGCAAGTTCAGATCAAAGCAATTGTCAGGACTTCTCCGCAAAACAAGATTTTCATGTGCGCATATATATATTTTGCGCACTGTACCAAGATATTTTTTCTGTTTTTTCAAACTCCGTACCATTCTGAAAACACTTTCAACTCCCTATATCACCAGGTGCATGCAGAATAGACAGTGAGGAGGTGCGACATCGGACTTGGGCGTGAGGCCCAAGGCACAGACCAGTGGTAGTTCTCGACTCGGAATCCCATCACCAAGCCGACGTAGTTGCCCCGACCCGTTTTTCGCGAGTTGCGTCCATCGCCCGGACTCTTTCTATGGTGCATCAAGGGCGTGCTTCATCAAAACGACGAAGTCTCGGTGCTTTTCCTCGTCCACCATGACATGGTGCGATGCCCATGGGTTGATGGGAGTTGGCCAGATTTGCAAGTAAATTTTAGCGTCAAAACGTTGGTCGATGGTGGAAGGGCAGGGTCAAAGTGCTTGGTGTTCATGGTGCTCCACGTTCAAATCAAAGGTTCCAACCGTGTCTGGCTCTCCGCACCCACGATGGCCACGAGATCAGCTCGGCCATGTCACCGCACGAGAGCGCTGCTAATAGTATAACGACGATCGACAGGAATGCGTGGGCGACGACGCCATGCTGGACTGGCGGGACGGCGCGTACGTGGAGGGTGCTCTGCTGTTAATGCCGGCACCGTACGCGTTGTGGGCCTAACAAAATACAGGAAGCGCCTCAGAGCTTTGGTCCGCACAACAGCCGTCGACTGTTGGTACCTCGTTGGGGTAACTCGCATGCATGGATGGTTCCGAGTACCGCTGTTGGTTGCCACCACCGTCGCTGAATCGGTTCGGATCGGCAGGTTCTTTCGACGATGGAAACAAGTTGTTCAAGTTGTCTCGAGCAAACCCGGCGATGCCTACGGAAGAGCACGCAATTGCGGTCGGTTTGTAGCACAGACCGACTCTCCTTCACAATCCACCCACCTTGATAGTTGTTGGCCGGAGCTGGTTCGTTTCGTCGACCGTGCCCAGTGCGATTGGCGTAGGCCAAGTTGGCAGGGACTCCCGGGTTACCGTAGCCTCCAGGGGCCGCTGCGTTGTGTCCAACGGGATAGGCGTGGTACACGTTGGCAGTTTGGTGGGTGCGTTGCTCGTGGACATTTCCTTGCTTGTACGCATGGTGGTCGGGAGGTGGAGGGGGAAACCCTCCATTTTGAAAACCATTCGGACTTGGCCCATACGGATTGCTTGGGTAAGCTCCAGGGATGTCGCTGACGGACGGGTAAAACAGCGGTTTTTGGTCGGCGGGCGCGTTGGCTTGATATGGGCTCGGCGCGTTGTTCCAAGGATGGTCCATTGAACTGCCTGGGGCAGGGCTTGGGCGACCATAGAGCGGTGCAGAGGCCGGGGCGTATTGCGTGGCATGGCCAGGAGGAGGTTGGGCGAAGTTGGGTACAGTTGGCTGGTCCATGTGGGTGGATGGATGGGTATTGTCTATGAGATGGTGGAACTGGTTGCCGTGCCCGAGTGCCTTGTTGTAGTGCACGGGAGCGTTCATGTGGGGGGCATTATTGTTACCGCCTCGAGGCGGCGATCGATGGGAAGGCCCTGGAGGAAGGAGAACCATTGGTTTGGCTGGTCGGTCGTCGCGCAGTTTTGACAGCCGATGCTTCTGCCGCCGCTCCTTGTGCAGGTTTTCCTTTTGGATGATTTTGTACTGCTTTGGAAGTTCCATGAGCAAGTGCAGCGCGAACGTCTCCCGCCGCTTCGTCACGTCATCGACGCCTGGAGGCGGACATCAGCGCCTGGATGTCTACGTGGCACGATACCTCGGGTGACCTTGTCGAACTCGACGAATTGGACGTTGTCGAAGTGCTTGTCGGTCATGCCGTCGTCAAAGTAATGCATGGAATCCCACGGACCGCCGCCAACGCCGACCACGACGATGCTAAGAGGGAACGTACTTGCGTACTGAATTGCATTGATGGTGTCTTGCTCTTGCTTGCTAAAGTGGCCGTGGGCTTGTTCGTGAGGCGATGTAACTTGACCGGTCGCGATGATCACAAGGATGTGGTAGGTAAAGTTGTTGGCGATCACGGTTTCCACAGCTTGGAGAATGATCGGCGCGTACGACGACAGCTCGCCCAGGCGCACATGGGGAGCCAGCGCGGCATACCGCGCCATGATCGTGTCCAGTGTTTGGCCAGGAATTGTAGTCTGATGTCGGTTTTGGGACACGAACTCAAACACGTTGCGATCGCCCGTCGTGACGTCGCCAAACCCGTACGCGGTGATGTTGTTCTTGTTGATGATGTTCCGCGTGGCGAACTCGATGTGATTCGTGGCCAACTGGTACTGGTTCGGGTGATGGTCGTACACGTCGTGGAGGGAGCTGCCATGCATGTTCGACTGGGAAACTACCCCATGTTCAAATGAGATTGCACGGCACGAGACTCAGTCATGCGTCGAACACGTACAGTCGTAGCCGAGGATCAAGTTGGCGGACACATTCAACTTGCGAATGTCTGGAGGGTCGATTCAGACGCGACAGGATACGAGGACGACGTTGACGTACCTTTCATCAAGTCATCTAAGCTGGTGTAGTTGTCCTGGATCGGCGCTTTGCGTCGCTCTCTGCCAGTGCTGCGGGCATTCCCCATCCGTCCTTGGCCGTGAATATCAATGTGCGACGAAACCGCGGCTGAGTCCGATAGAATCGGTATCTGATTGGACAATATCTTTCGCATATCATCCATATACGACAATTTCATTGGCTATCCAACTGAAGTCGTCCACAGAGAACGCGTATTGGATGGAGTTCGTGGCGGCAATTCAGTCGACGGACGAGAGAAACCCTTCACAGAACCGATGAAAGTCTTCACTGCTACCACCCACGATGCACTACCCCGCAAAGCATGGCATGCCACTCGTCGCGAACCCTCATGCCACACGACATCCGGTCGTTCCGACCATTACCTGTAACAATTCATAGTAGTAGTACTACAGTAGTCGTGACATGACGGAGATACCGAGGAAGCACGTACCGCTACTTTTGTGGGTAGAAATTATAAAGTTTCACGAGTTATCTCGGTTGACGCACTGCTTGAATTCAACCAGGGATTTCCAAACCCAACGAAATTTTTTTTCACAGCCAAATTGCAAAATTTTCGGGCGCACTTTGGTGCTGTCCGAGAGAGCTAGGCGGCGCGGTCAACTGGCTTGAAACCTTGAGGGCCGTCCTTCTCGCAACACGAACGATGCCGTCCTGACACTGGCGCAGCGCAAGATATCACAGAGTCCAGAGCGGACGGGCAATGTGCCCAGATTCGTCGCGATCCCGTCCTGGACCAGTTTTTGTTGATTGTTATGGCATTGCATTCTCGTCCTTCGGTTCAGTTGAAAGAGTACGACCTCCACGTGCACGAGGCGCTCGCCCATGCTGCACGCAGCCCCTCCCCCACTCGTCTGCTTCCGTATACATCTTGCGCAAACGTCGTGACAGATGCTGGCCATGCCCAGTGGGGCCAGTATCGCCATGGATGTCTCCGCCACCTGCGACATTGTTCGAACGGCCACACGCTGATGTATTTGAATTTTTAGGAATGTTGGTGGTGCAACTGCCTTTAAGAATGTTGCTCATTCGTCGACGGTGGGCAGAGTGAACAAAGAGCGGACACGTGATGGGAAACGCCGAGACGAAGCAGCCCCGCACGAGCAATGCCACCCCAGCCACGCAACCACGGCCCCAATCGACATTCCAGCGCATTGAAAACATGTATTCCAACCTGGACGACTTGAAACGAGGTACGCGTCGCTTTGGAGCCTGACATGACGACGACATGCGTGTAGACCTCCGCCGCAAAGGCCTCGAGAGCTGCAACTTGATCCTTGGCATTGACTGTACGCTGATGGACTTGTCGTGGCATCTTTTATCGTGTGATAGCTGATCGAAGCGACGTGTGTAGTCACAAAGTCGAACGAGTGGACGGGGAAACGCACGTTTGGTGGAAAGTGTCTTCATGACGTGAGGTCGTACCAGCTGAACCTGTACGAAGAAGTCGTCGACATCGTGGGCCGTACGCTAAGAGAATTCGATGACGACAACATCATCCCTGTGTACGGGTTTGGCGATCAGTTGACGGGGGATTCGTCGGTGTTTTCGTTCATGCCGTTTCTGCCCATGGGTCGACCAGCCATTCCTGGCTATGCCCTCGAAGGTGTTCGGCAGCGGTACCGCGAAATCGCGCCGCATGTGTCCATGTCAGGCCCAACGTCGTTTGCCCCAGTCATACTTCAGGCCGTGAACACCGTGATTGCAAACGGATATTCCTACCACATCCTCGTGATCGTCGCCGACGGCCAAGTAACGCGGTCCGTGGACGTGCCGGTCGGCGAGTTCAGCAAGCAAGAGCTAGACACAATGAATGCGATCTGCTACGCAAGCAATTTTCCCCTCAGCATTGTTCTCGTCGGCGTCGGCGACGGGCCTTGGGACATGATGCAGCAGTTTGACGACGCGCTCCCGCAGCGCCGCTTTGACAACTTTCAATTCGTCGAGTTCGATAAAGTCACTAGAGGTACTGCTCTTCCGACGTGCTTTGAGTCAATTCATGGGCAACCAACTCCCAAGGCATTGCAGATGTCACTCGCCGCGAAACGCAGTTTGCGCTGCACGCTCTCATGGAGATTCCAGAGCAGTATCAAGCAGTGCGGCGCCTCAACTTACTGCAGCCCCCACCTCGACCTTTCCCGCCACCGTTCACCCCCATGATCCTCCCCCCTCCTGAATTCCAGCCATTCCCTCAAGGCGAGTTCAACTATGCCCCCACCAGCTCTGCCCATGTCAGCAGCGCTGCACCGATATACTACCCTGGAGGCGCGCCCTACCAACCTCCGTTTCCACCAAAGTCGGTACCGGCACCTCCTCCAGACATCGCGGTCGGTGCCCCCGTGGCAGAGGTACGGGCCACGTAGCCGTGACCATGGTTCAGAGCATCTTTGGCGCAGGTAGTCGTGCCGTGCCCGCGGTGCACGTTTGCAAACCGGGCCTCATCGTCAACGTGTGCGTTGTGCGGCGAGGCGCTGCCGGCCAACCCGTCGGCCCCGCCGCCGACTGGTCGTGCCGCCGAAGACGACCCCGCGACGCTCTCGAGGCGGTTGCGTGCGATGGAAGAGGAGCTCATATGCACCATTTGCATGGCGGCAAAAAAGAACGTGGTGTTTCAATGCGGCCACGAAACGTGCGAAGACTGCAGTAAAAACGTCGTCAACTGCCCTTCGTGCCGCTTGCCGATTCGCACGCGCACCCGGCGCTATGGCTAGCTGTCACGAATTTTACTAACACAGGCGTACTTGCAAGCGTTTGCAAATGGGCTCCATCCATCGGCAGACGATACGGTCGACCCCGTGTTTTACTCGATCTACCTACGCCCCCAAGCTCACAGCCCGACGAACAGACTGTCGCGCGCCTCGTCATGGCAATGCCAAGCGCTCTTGGCAGGTCCGCCAGTCGGAAGATATCGTGGTCCACTAGTCGCTGTTGCCTACATGTGCGCCCGGCCTCGTCGACCTTAGCTGACATCGTACATGTGCAGCGTTTGAAAGATGTGCGCACGTCGCGCTGTCGTCGTGGGGCATCTCTGAAACCTTCATCGACGGGAATGACGGCCACCGAACGCTCGCGCCGATCCTAGCCGTCCACCGCGACCACGGTGCCGCTAGCGTGCGAGTGAAGCCGCCTGTCACTGCAAATGGTCGACTTACGAGGGGGGAGTGCGCTGCTTCGGTTGAGCATTGCGGTGGTTGACAAGGATATGCACCAGTAGCGCGACCATCGGAGTGCAAAAGAGCCACATGAGCGTACTCACCGACACGTGGTGTGGAGCAGTTGCAGCAATCACATTCATGGCCACACACACGGTGGCATTCCGCAGCACGACGTGGACTGGCAAGCTGAGAAGGACTGGGATCGCGATCAAAAGGATCGACGTCGAAATGGAGATGACAAAGGCTGCCGTGGCCACCGAGATGCCATCCGCCGCTGTCGTCGGCGACGACGTGGCTTCAAGTCGTCGCCGGTGCCCGTCCGGCGCGCCGGCCTGCGTCGCCAGGCCCATGATGTAAATGCCCGATGCAAACGCAGCAAGCGGCGCATGGATGAAAAAGTGGCCGTATGCGACGACGTACGTGAGGTTGGGTTGGTCGTGTAAGATTTGTCCAAACGGGACGATCGAGTAAATCCACCACAGCACGAAAAGCAGCACCATGCTGGCGACGCATGTGCTGACAGCTTCGGTGTTGAATGCGTCGGCCTTGAGGACCGTGGCATGGGCCAGCGACAGCATCGTCTCACCAACGACGATCGTGGTAAACTCATTGTACCGATCCGACACGTGGTGCGCGTGATAGCGTGTGCGGCCCGCGGCGGCGGTGGTTCGCTGTGCAATGTACGGGTAGGCCAGGTCACAGCACGCGAGGATGGCAAACCCAACGACTTGGCTCGCATACGTCGTGCTGTACGTTTGCTGAATGTACCAGCACGCCATGATGAATGTCGAGAGGGCGCTGTGCTTGACGTTCACGGCGCGGCGGTCGGGGTCCTCGTACGCTGCCCGCAGCCGGAAAAACACGCCGTGGAAGAAGCGCAGGACGATGTACCCGACGACAACCTCGGCAAAGTTGTGCGCAATGCCGTCCGAGATCATGAAGATGCCGATCATTTCGCCAAACGTGCCCACGCGGTACAGCACGTCGTCGACATCGTACGTGGTCGCAAACCACACGTACGGGAACCACGTGTTCCAGATCGTGAAAAACGAGACCAAGAACGCCATGAACGACTCGGCTTTGTCGCCACCGTGCTGGATATTCGTGGCAAACTCGGTCGAGACGGCCGACAGCGCCACGACCAGCGTCAAGTCAAACAGTTTCTCGAGCGCAGACGACACACGGTGGGGCTCGTGCGGGTCGCGCATCTTCATGGGGGCGTAGATCGTGATGCGGCCTCCGAGCCAGGGGATGCCAGACGACTGGGGCGCCCCTCCCCTGGCACTTGAGGTCCTTCGCGCGCTCCCCAACGATCGTTCCCTTGGCTTGACCTGCACGGCGATCACGTTGCCCTCCTTCATTGTGAATGGCAGCGCGACGACGCATGATGACGTCGTCTAAATTTAGCATTACGACGATATATAACTGCGCGCTAATGTCTGAAGAAGGGGCCTCAGGACGGGATGACATACGGACTACATGCCAGAGTTGTGTGTGAGATCGATGGAGGGGTCGAGTCGACACCACGTACTCTTTGCGCCGGGTCCGCCAGATGACGTAGGGCAGGAAGGACAGGATGGGGACGCAATAGACCCACAGCAGCGTGCCGACCGTGACGTGCGGCGTAACAAAGGCGGCTGTGAGGACAAACATCGCGGCCACGAACACGTTCTTGGCCAGCGACAACCACGGAGCCCCAATCAAGACGGGTATGGTCAAGATGTAGATGCTCAACGAAATGGCGATGACCCACGACGCGGTAGTGATCGAGACGTCTCTGGACTCGGCGCTGGCCAGCCGCCTTCGTTCGCGGGTGATCACGGCGTTGTCGTCGGTGGCGAGGCCAGCCAGGTACAGCCCCGTGGCAAAGCCCGCGAGCGAAAAGTGAATGACAAAGTGGCCATACCCGACCACGTGAACTTTGTGCGGATGGTCATGGAGGAGTTTGCCAAACGGGACGAGAAAGTAGAGCCACCACAGGGCAAAGAGAAGGATCACCGATGCAGTCGACGTCTTGACAGCTTCCGTGTTGAAGGCCGCGTTCGGTTTAAGCACGGTCGAGTGCGACACAGACAACAGCGACTCGCCAAACACGATGATCGTAAACTCGCTGTACCGCTCCGAGATGTGGTGGGGATGGAAGGGCATCTTTAGGGTGCTCCAGTGCTCGACAAGCGCCGGCGCGCTGACGTCACACACCCCAATCACAAGAAACGCGACCGTCGACGTCACTTCGTCCGACGGAAGCGCCTGCTGGCAGTACCACCCGGCCAAGATCACACTCGACACGACGCCGTGGCGGATATTGATGCTCCGGTGCGGCGGGTCTTGGTACGCTGCGCGGAAGCGAAACAAAACGGTGTAACACACGCGCAGCATGATGTAGCCCGCGAAGATCTCGTCCATGTTGTGGTCGATGCCGTCGCATACCATGAGGATGCCCATCATTTGGCCCATGGCGCCAATTCGATAAAACACGTCGTCCACATCGTACGTCGAGCTGAACCACACAAACGGCAGCCATGCATTCCACAGCGCAAAAAACGACATGCAGAATGTCCCGAATCCATGCGCGAGCTCGCGGCCCGCTTGAATGTGCTCGGCAAACTGATGCGACACTGCCGACAGCCCCACAACAAGCGTCAGGTCGTACAGTTTTTCCAGCGCGGACGACACGCGGTGCTGCTCGCGAGGGTTCCGCGCCCGCATTGGGGCATGAATGACGCCGCCGCGCGTGAGGAGCTGCGACTGGCTCCCACTCGACTTGTGCCGCATCAAACTCCGCACTTTGACAATCGCCGCTGGCTTGGGCGTTGCTTGCATGGCGGCTACCTCACGGACGACGTTGGGACGAACGTCCTTTCTACCACACGAGCGGTTTCACACGTAACCGAAATATGTAACGGTCCAACCTGTCAATCCAAGCCCCCGGCAGAGCACGAGCTTGGATGGCTTTATGGAGGTGGATGCATATGCAACTGAGACAATGGAGATGGTGCAAGAGCGCCACGATCGACCCTTGAGCCACATGTTAAGCATGCTAGCCCTTGTGAATACAGGGTTGACCTGGCTGCTCTTCCAACAACTGACGCGGCGAGTTGAAACAACTCGAAAGCGTTCCTGGGTGGTTTAGGAGTACTCATGTGCAAGGGAGGTCGCCAGCGCCGGCACAAAATACCCGAGCATCGTTGAACGGGGTAGTTTATTCGACTCGGTCATAAGCCGGGATGCCTTGAGGGCGGAGACAGCTTCGTCCTGCCACGACCGCTGCAGTGGCTACGGCTGCAACGGGGCCGCCCACTATGACAGCCACAATCAGCGCGTCCATGGTCCACTGGAATGTCTTTTTCAGCCAGTGGAACGCTCGAGACACGGATGCCGCGGGGGTCCACGGCTCTTCGGCCTCGTGGGCTTCGATTGCGGGCGTAATCACCACCAGCAAACGCGATGGTGGCGCTTCGTCGATGCTGACTCGCAACGTGCTCAGGCTGGCACTTTTGCTCAAGTACGCCGCATGTTGTTGCGTCTGGTCCAACGATTCGGCGACGCGCTGCAACTCCCGCATGACGTCCATCACCTCGGCGGTCGTCGTGGCCTGGACGAGAACCTTCTCTAGCGTGTTGTACGCGGCAGTGAGCATGCTCTCGCGGCTCTTTGTGTCGATGAACTGCTCGGTGATGTCGCTCGCCGATGCTGATTTATCTTTGACCCACGACACGCCTGGGATGACAAGAGCGGCGGCTGCATCTAAGCTTGTGGCAAATAGCGAAGAAGGGACCCGCCACACAACGCTCCAGCTTCGCAGCACCACTGTGCGTCCGTAGTTTCCGTCGGGGCATGACGTTGTCGAGTTGTCCTTGGAGTTGCGGCAGTCGTGCGGGATGTAGCGCTCGTGGCTGTGCTCGCTTTCGTTTTCGATGTACCCGTTCGAGGTCGCGTCGTTGACGAGTTCCTGTATGCGTTGTTGGAGGTTGGTCCATGCTTCAGACACACCAAACGCAACGACAAGGTCGACATGACCATTCCAAACTAACATGCGATCGACTTTGGACGCGTCAAAGGACTTTGGCGACTGTCGAAAGGACGACGCGATGTCTTGACCGAGGGAAGGCGATGCGTCCGAAGCGAAGGCGGATGGCATTGCGCGCATACCTGGGGCTTTTGCCATGAATTCACCTCCTCCCAGAGCATTCACGGACAACTCTCCAGCTTGCAACTGGGCAGACTCGGCGAACGTCATCCGACCGCTCTTTGAACCGGGCGGGATTCTGACTGAAGCGGTCTCGTCAACGACTTGGCTGGCCAATGCCATGACAAACAGACCAACGAAAATCAACAAGTTGACTTGTCCTAGGAATGGCATACCGGACCAGCGACGAGGATGACGCCTGGATGGAGGAATAGATGGTAACGGTGTGGAGGATGCTGCTGTAGACGTAGATGCCGTGCCGGGGTTGCTTGTGTCCTCGGAGCAGGTTGTACTTCGGCGCAGCATTCAACGTGCACTGTTCTGCACGGTTGAGAGTGTGCCGGCAAGATCTTTTCAAACCTTTGCAAATTCCACCAAATTCAATACATTTGCAGTATTTTCGACATAGAGTGGTTTGGAATATGTGAAAATTGCACGAAAATACAAAATTTCATGAATTCTGGGAACATGAGGTCGTATCAACTACTCGTACAGCTTGGGCTTCTTCGACGTCGTCGGTGCGTCTGCGGCTTCATTCGAACCGGCGGCGGCTTCCATTGCGCGTCGCTTTAGATGTGGAGGCAATTGTGGCCCAATGGCTTCGAGGGATGACGACTCGTTCGAGGGTGGCGATGTCGACGGCCGCGGCACGAGGTTTAATCGTTTTTCAAACGCCTGGAGTTGCGCTCGAAAGCTCGCATTGGGGTTCACCTTTGTGCGATCATGTATGAGCAACGTGTCGACAGTTCCATGGTGGCGTACCATCGGCCGCTTCTGCTGGAGAAGCGAGAGAGCGTCGGCAAACGGCATCGCCAGTGTCTTCATCAAGTACGCGAGTACGATGGCCGCAGACCGACTGACGCCAGCCTTGCAATGCACCAAGATGCGACCTACAGCGCGGTCTCAGGGGGGGTTGGATCGTGGGGTTGGTCAAACCATGAAACTTGGCTTGATCGATGAATGCGATGCATCCATCCAATGACGTCAGGATATCTTCGCCTTGGTTGTCAAACAGTGCGCATCGGCGGTACCTGAGCACATCAACATCATTCAAACGTCATCGGGGCGTAGCAAGCGCACGTGAAGGCATTGTCTTTCTCAAAGAAGTTGGGGACGCCCGCGACTGGGTCGACTTTGCGCGTTGGGGTCACCTACTCACAGACGCAATCTACAAGGTTCAGCGCATTCGTGGGACTGGGACGAGTTACATTGAGAATATGCGTGATACCAAGGGATTCCAGGAGCTCGCGGTTCTTTGCTTGTTGCCGGCCACCGAGGAAGACGTAGTCCATCACCTTCGTCGGGCCGTCTGCCGCCATCGTCCGACCACCAGAAGAAGTCCTGTCGCACTTAACCGGATAGATCCGAAACCGCAACAGTTTCACAATTTCATCGGCATGCGATGTCGGCACCGTCGACGACGGTGGCAGCGTGGCCTTGTCATGCGGGTGCTGCAGTCAGCAGCTCTCGCTCGAGCGAATGACACATACGTCGGATTAGGAGGACGCTGGACATCCCTGAATGGCGTCCCATGGAGCCAGCTTGTTCGATAGAAGCGTCTGCTAGTAGTTGACTTGAATATCCTCGCTATGGGGCATGCGTCGTCGTTCCGTGGCGTGCGCGCCAAAGATTAAGCCACTGATCTGGGCGGATCTCGTTCATAAGGTTGAACATTGCAGCCAGCCGCGCTCATGACAACAGCAGCCGTCTCCAGGGCGACATTACATAGTCGATTTATTCGTCCAAGTTGTCGAGAATTGGAATGCAGCTGAGGGTGTTGAGGCCAAGCGTATGTTGTGGGCCCAAAAACGAGATGTAAGCGCATTTCGAGCTCTTGGTGAGGATCAACTAGCTACACTACTTGCCACTGCACGACACGAACATGACGAAAGAATCATTGACGTTACAGAGCTTGACGAGGACGCATGCGACGGAGTGGGTGTCGCCAGAGCTAAATCATGGACGGGCGTCGTTTCTTGGGCTGGTCGCCTCGCAAGTTGAGCAGAGCAATGAGTCCTTCGATGTCGACCATGTCGTGCTCCATCACGCCTGCGCTGATCTAATTTCGTACGAATGACACGAGTGTGCGGCGGCACGACGTAGTACGTACCAGTTCGTCTTCGAGCTTTTCCTGCGTGTTAATCTTCTTCATGGCCCCGACGAGCTTGGAAGACGACCCAAGGATCAGGTACTGATACACGATGTTCCACGCCTAGACACAACAGTGAGCGAAAACTCGACGTGGGCCACCGACCAGGACAAACGGCATCTTTTCATGCTTCTCTTTGAACGCCAGGAGATGGTCGAGTGTGACTTGGAGGCTCGATTTCTTGGGTGGAGATCGCTTGGGGAATTCCGCCACAGGTGGCGGGGAGAGAAGGGTGTCCACTACAGCTGCCACTGCAGGGACGTCCACGGGTGGCGGGCGTGGCAGCGCCGCCGCGCGATAGATGGGTTTGGCAATGACGTGCTGCTGCTTTTGTAGCAGCTCGGGCGCGTGCCACACTTGCATAAACTTCCACAGCTCAAACCGCAGCCGCACCGCCGTCGTCGACTCCATCACGTTGAGGAAACCGATACCTTGTCGAGCAGTTTCAAGTCCATCCCAACCTCGACGCATATCGACGTTTTCCGTGTGTGTGGCAAACGGCCGAGACGAGCCGATCGAAGCCGCCACGTTGCTCTGGATGGCATCCGACCAAGTCTCGGACTTTCACCTGAGTTCACTCTTGCATCCAAACCATGTCGTGGCGCTCCAGTCGTACTTCTCACGGACGTCGGACGACCCGGCGTGCCAAAAGCTGTCGCTGCAGCAGTTCACGAAAGCCCTCAAGAAGGTGCTTGGGCCGTCCTCGTCCACGATCCCGGACGACCAATTGGCCCGCATGTTCAACCGCATCGATGCCAACTCGGACGGCTCGGTCACGTGGGACGAGTGGTGCGACTTCTTCCTCCTGTTTGACCAGCGGCACATCAATTTGTACCGGGACATGCACTCGTCCATCCTGCAACCTCGGGACGGTAGGTGCCCACCGACGTGCACATCATGAACCGACCGCGGTAGGCTACAGCGGGAAAGACCCGTCGATCGGCACCCGACATGGCGTGATTGAGCACATTTTGGCTCTGCTCGTACCCATGGAGCTCCTCAAACCGCCCGAGTGGCTCTACGTGACGTGCGCCCGCAACGGCACGGTGAGTCTATGGGACCCGACGTCGCTGGCGGTGGTGGGGTCGCTGCGTCCACCAAACCCAACTCAATGGGTGACAAACATGATTGCTCTGTCGGTGCCCAACTTTGTGGCTGTCAGCGTCGTCGACCGGTTCATATACATCATCCAGTTGAGTTCGTTGAGCGTCGTGGAAACGTTGGGTCCGTTGGCCCATGCAGCGGTGGGGATGGCGGCGTTTCGAAATGCGGACGGCGGGTACGTTGACAAGACAAAGAGTCATGCAAGGGGGCTGGCTGGCGGGCTGATTGTCGTACTGGCAGACACATGCTTGCGTTCGGGGACATGGGCGGCGGGCTCAATCTCCGCACGGTTCGCGTGGTATCGTCGGAGAAGGTCGCGTTCGTATCTCCCGTCCGCCACGTGATTCACCGGGACTGGGTCACACAGGTTCAGCAGGCTGACCATCTTCGACCGCGCGACTCATCCCGACGCGCGTAGGTGACATACCTCGCGGCGTATCGATACCTCATTACGGCATCCATGGACAGCTCCATCAAGTTTTCAAATCTCGCGGATGGAGCTGTCCAGCGGCAGTTCAACTGCCATCGGTACCACCGACACACCATGCTCGACAAGTTGCAACGATTATCGGGCTAGGTCGGGTGTGTATTCGTTCTGTTACTCGCCGCAGCTGAATCTCATGGCGAGCAGCGGGTCGCGCAGTGTCCTGCTGTGGAACCCAGACCAAATGGACGTGTTGGCATCGCTCCAGGGCCATGGCAGCCCCGTGCACCAGGTACCGACTCACCGCCATCGTCTTCGCACGTGCTGGTGGGGTTGACTGCTTGTAGATGGTCCTGGACGAGCGCGCGTACAAGCTGTTCACGCTCTCCATGGACAAGGTGCTCAAAGTGTGGGATTGCTACACGTACCAGTGCATGCAAACCATCGTGGACCCGACTGTGCATTACCCCGACGACCGCATTGGCCGCATTTTCTGGGACGCCAAGCTCCTGCACCTCGTGTCATCGACGACACGGCTACGAGTGTGGCCGATCCACACGGTGCTTCAGAGCAACACCCGCACGAGCCACGACTGCGCCATCTCGTGCGCCACTTACACGCCTGCGCTGCACCAGGTCACGATCTCGTTTGGGTTTGCTATCGTGACGGCAGTATGACATGCGCAGGTGGCGACGGGCGACGTGCGCTCGGCCATTCACACGTGGGATGCTTCCACCGGCGAGCTCGTCATGCGCATTCCCAGGGCGCATGGCTCGAACCAAGTACGTCGACACGACGTGCCATCGACTCCAACATCCAAACAGATCACGGTCGTCACGTACGAATTCACCGGCAAGCGCGTCCTCAGCGGTGCCGCCGACGGCAGCGTCCACATTTGGAATGCCAGCAACGGCCAGCTCCTCTCGGTAGTGCTCACGGAAGTGCCGCGGTCTGGCCAGAAGCGACTCATCTCTGTTGCAGAAGCTGCATCGAACGGTACCGGTCGCCGGGCCGATGGAGGTCTCTGGCATCGTGTACGTCGTGCCCCAAGTCACTGCGAAGTCCCTAAACCAGGACAGGTCGGTTGACTCTGCAGCATCGCAAGCTCACGCGATCGAGCTGTCGATCATAGGTACATCCTGGTCAGTGGCTGGGATCGCCAAGTCGTCAAATACAAAGACACCAAGGCGCTGGACGTTTATCCGCTCGAAGTTTTTACCGAGTCGACGCATGTTCGTCGTCGTCCTGCCATGCGCACGTCTTCGTCAAAGTTCTCCTCGATGGTAGACACACAGCGAGGACGTGGTCGCGATGTGCTACATCACGCCTCCTGCCGCGCTCGTGGTGTCGGCCAGTGTCGACGGCAGCATCTTTCTGTGGTCCTTTACGATTCGTACGGAGGCATCTCGCCGCCCCAGAGGTCCTTCACACGGGTCGTGACAGGGCTTCTGCGCCACCGGCTGACGTTGCCGAGTGCCCAAGCCAGCTACGACATGACGTTTCGCGTGAAGGCAGCAGGGACGGCACCGGACGAGCCCTCTGACTTTGTCGTGCGTGGCGAAGGGCGCTTCGATGGCGCCGCAGCTTGACGAGTTGACATTAGGACTGCTTGATTCCGTATCCGTCGCAGGCGAGCTTTATCAGTGGCAGCAACCGGGGGCGCATCGACATGTGGTGTGCCGAGGTCGGCGTGGAGGTCATTGGCATGTGTGGTTGATCGTGTGGATTAGTCGGGCAGCATCAAGCAAAGCATTCTCGCCACGACCACGATGGGCCACGGGATTACGAGCTTGGCTCTCGATGACGCCAACGCGCAGCTCGCCGCGGGTAACGCGGCCGGCGACGTGCATGTACGTGCTGGACCTGGTGCGCGGTGTCGATGGGAGTCCGTGGTAGTTGTGGAACCTCACCAACGTGGCATGGTACTACTCGACGCCGCCCCCGACGCAACAGAAGAATGCCACGGCGGCGTTGGTGCGCAAGTGGCAGCACGCAAGCCTCGTCTCGACTTGGAAAGCCCACAGCGACGGCGTGGTATTCATCGCCCACGTGAGCAATCTGGTAGGGAGTCGCGCAGGTTCATCGCGATGAACACAGTGCTGTGTGCCAGATCGTGTCGGCGGGCCGAGACGGGGTGCTAGCCGTGTGGAGCCATCGTGGCCACCAGATGGGCATCTTCGGCCACGACCGCGTGACGTTACCTCGGTACTCGTTAGCCCGTCGATGCCAGCCGCCAACGACAACATTGTGATTGCTCATGACGACATCAGGGAGCCCTGCACGACCGCTCCGATGGACAGACCTCAACTCGACGACTTGAAAGCGTCGGCCCCGCCGCCGCTTCAGCGGACGCTGGCCAACAAAGCGCTGCGAGTACAGCGTCCTCCGCCGATGCTCTGGAATGACCAAATGAGTTGTAACAATCGTTTTTGTGCGGGGCTGTAGACATTATCGCCGCGAGTGGCCGGGCGACTTCTCCCGTCCGACTTGATCAAGCCCGCGTCGGCCCGCGCCATGGCGGCTCCGCAACCAGCATCACCACGAGAACTGCGCCTAAAACAAACCAACCACCTCGTACGACCACCCGCTGCAAGTGAGAGAGGATTGCAACACTTGATGATGGTGTCCAGACGGTGCACGCGGTGACGGACGTGCCGCGAAAAGTGCACGACTTTTTGCATGCGAGCCTTGTCGACGCAACAGAGGACGAGTTTCGACGGAAAGACGCAGCGTGCAATCTCTAAAGAAAGCAAGACGACATTGGTGTCGGACTCAGCTCCCTGTCGACCCTGTCAGCGCGGTCCCCGAGCCACCACGTGATGCGCGCGGCACCGCCACGGTGGTCGTGACGGAAGCCGTCGATAAAACTGAACAAGCGCCGGCGCAGATGGATAAATAGTAAACATAACGACGTGGTTGAGTAGGTGCGGCGGCATCGTCGACATGGACGTCGCTGTCGTTGTGTGCTCGGCTCTCGACATGGCTGCTTCACGAGTCCGGATCGTCCCATGCGTACGGCTGCGCGAGGCCGATCGACTGGATGAGGGCATCCGTCGTGCGATGCTCCATCGCGAGGATAGCTTGGCTGAGGCTGGCCACGAGGGCGGGGTGCTGCTTGGCTATGGCGAATTGGCGCAACCCGTCAAGCTGCGCATACGCTTTGGATTCGGTCAGGTCGGTCGTCGGTTCCGTTGCGTCGCGGGCGAGAAAGTCTTCGGGAAACATGAGCTGCGTCGGGAGGTGGTCGTCAAAGTTGACGTATTCGACCGCCGACAGGATTAACGACGCGTCCGATACAGGAAACAGCACGTGGAAGAGCGCCAAGAGCGACTGGAGCTCGGTGGTCGGTACCACGGCTTGGCGACTAAAGCTGTGCTGGCAATGGGTGGCTGTGACGGTAGCCCACGCCGCGACGATCCACGCGTGGAGTTGATGCCCATCGACATGGACTTGAGCGGGAGGAAGCGCGTCCTTCTTCAGGTGGGCACTTGCAATCACGTGGCGAAGAAGAAGGACCCGGTAGGCATCTTTAAATTGGCCCACGACCCCTTGCAGCAACGGACTCAGCTGGGACGGCAGATACGTCGGACAAACGCGGAGACACACGTGTTCGAGGTCGAGATCGGACGAGTGGCACGGGGTGCTGGGCAAAATGACGAGAACTTTCCGCTTGAGCGACAGGTCCAGCGCCAGGAGCCATTCGTGGAAGATGTCGGCGGTCATCCACGCTTGAGGCGCTCGCTTGAATCCAAGATCATCGTGGTGCTGGGTGATCATCGACGGGCGATCGCATCCGATAACGAGCGGCGGGAGTTTGTGCGAGCCCGACATGTTGCAGCACAGCAGCACCGTCGCAACTTCCGTGTCCTCATGAAGCGACAGGTTGTGCGTTTTGAGGTCCTTGAGCAGCCGTGCAGCGGTGTCGGGCAACGTTTGGTAGAGCAGTTGTGTCTCGCTGCAGCTGTAGATGTCGTCGGCCGAGTACAGGCCCAAAACGCTGCTCATGGACCCAAACCATTGCGCCCACTCGTCAAAGCCTACGTTCGAGTAAGGACTCGTCAGTCGTAGAATACGCAGTGGCCACGATACCGCTGTCGGGCAGCATGGCTTCCAAGGTTGGGACGTTCGCGCCAACGGACGACGTGGATGCGTCCTTGCGCAGCTTTCGAAACGAGATCGAGTGGCGCTTGCAAAACGACTCGAGCCATCCGTTGGACGCTTTGAAGAGTTGAGTGTTTGGCATGCGCTTGGCCAGTTCCAGCGCCTTTGCTTTCACCATCTTTCCGGTGAGGGTGCCCTTTACTCCCTTGATCCATTCAAACACGAGCTGGTCCACCACTTCGTGCCGCGGTTTCTTTCGGACTTTCGCTTCACGCGGCGTGCCTTCGTGAGCTTCCAACAGCGTGTTTGCTTTCTTCTTCAAGATGTTGTTGACCGTGCCAAGGCCAATGTTAAAGTCTTTCGCGAGCTTGCGTTGGCTCACGCTGCCCGAGTCGGCGCGGTGAATGAGTTGCAGCTTCTCCACCAAAGTAGTCTCGCGCCTTGGCCGCTTGCGAGATTTCGTCGCGGCGGTCGCCTCGGCTCCAACCGCGCCTCCGTCCATGCCTCCACGACTCGACCAACCCGAAAAACCGAGGTATTCAATAGGGACATTTGAAATACCCTAAATATTCGACTACTGGTACTAATAGTCCTTTCGACTAGTACTAGGCGGAGCAGCAGCACAGGAGGATGCGTTGTACTAACGGAAACCATCGCGACGGAAGCGGCGCATCTACTTGGGTGCCCCGCTCCGCCCTGGCGTTCCTCGGGAGCTGAAGATGTGGCCGGTGGGCTGGGCTAAGTAAGTCGTCTTCTGGGGGGGAAGGGGGCTCGTCGTGCTGTATATGGCGTCGCCTGCCCGTTGACGACGATGAGGCAACCAGGCCAACGCGCAAGCGACGCACCTGGTCGAGTGAGGCTCTTTGTCTGGCTAAACGATGCAAAACTGGTGCTGAGCGAGTTGTTGAGTCCGCCATGGAGCATCGCGTTGTCTGCATGAAAAGGTTCGTGTGAGATCGCCACCAGCGCGCGCGCGGGGGGGGGGATTTGTACTGGTCAGGACAGCGTCTGGCAAAAGCTTTTTCCTGTCTTCTTTCGAGTCGAGCGCATCGCGTTTGTCCTTTTCGTCGCGGGTCGACGACGGCGGCGGCTGCGACGGCAATGGCTGGGGCATTTGGGGCAACAAAGTCACGCCGTTGTTGCTCGAATGGACCGCCTTGCGCCGCTGGCTGCCCGCGAGTGAATCGAAGCTCATCGCGGTCAGTTTAACACTCGTTTTGCTGGACGCTGGCATGGCGGGAGCTAGCGTCAAACGTTCGTTAGCAAAGTTGAAAACGTTTGGTTGTCCAGTCGGTGGAGAACTTTGGACGTTCATCGGCAACGCTGGGTTGACCATACTTCGGTCGTGCATGAACAAGACCTCGACGCGCTCGCGCTCTTCCAGCGTGATGTCCTTCCCGTCTAGCGTCTTCAGCGACGGATATCGAAACACAATCGTGGACCGGGCGAGGTGGCGCTTGCTCACGGGGTTGTTTTGAATCGACAACTCTTGTAAGAGCGGCACGACAAAGTGCAGCCGCTCGATCTCTTCCATGTCAGCTAGCCGGTTGTTGGACATGTCGAGGGTCTATTCGAAGGGCCTTGTCAGGTGCGCGTTCGCGAGGGGTACCCACCTGAAGGCGCTGGAGCGAGTAAAAGTTGATGAGGGATCGGAGGCTGTTATCGTCCAACTTGAGCACTACTAAGTTGGGCAGGGACAACCCTGGGGGTGGTTCGAACTGGCGGATTCTGTTTTTGCTCAGGTAGAGCTCCTTGAGCTCCCTCGACGACGCCAACCCTGCGATGCCCGTGATGTCGTTCGACTCCAAATTCAGCACCTACACGCAGCCACGAGCCGTCGATGGCATCTTTTTAGGCAACCACATGACTACCTTCAAGTCGGCAAGGTGCTGGAGACCCAGGAGCAGCATGTCTGTGATGAGGTTCTTGGCCAGGTGCAAATTTTCGAGCTTGGGGCACGCTAGGATGCCAGTGCCAGGGCCAGCGCTGTGCAACCGGTCGATCTTATTGCAATTCAAATTGAGCACGCGAAGCTTGGGCAGCTTCTCGAGGCCCGAGATGTCCGAGATCAAGTTGTTTTCGAGGTTCAGGTCCTTCAGGTTGACAAAAACGTCCCTAAGGAATGCCCATGACGACCACGAAAAGGCGCGTGCGGCGACGTACCCATGGAGCGACCCAATCTCGCGAATGCGGCAACTCGACAGCTCCATCTCCTGGATTCGACTGAACGAACTGCCGATCTTTTCAGTCAAAAAATCCGTCGTGAGTTTCCCGCTGTACGCTTGCTTGGCTTCGTTTTGGAGCTCCGCCGTCACACTCGTGCCGTCGAGCACCTTCACTCGCCGCAAGTTGTAGATCGTGTACAGCTGGTACTCGTCATCGGCGCAGCATCCATTTCCAGAGAAGTCGACAATGATGAGCTTGGGCAATGACTTCAAGTGCTACACAGGTCGGTCGCCGCTCATCCATGTTCGAACATGGCAAGACGGTCGTACCAAGATCTCCTTGAGGTTCGAGATATGGTTGTTTCCGATGTAGAGCTCCATGAGCCGCACCAAGTGCGTTAGCCCTTGCAGTGACGTGATGTCGTTGTCCTCAAGTGAAAGCTATCGGCCGATTCGCATCAGGACTACGACCATGCTTGGCACGTACCTGCTTCAAGTTGACGAGCGCGTCGAGGTTTTTCATGCACGTGAGTTTGTTTTTGCCCAAGTCGAGCACGCGCAAGTGCACCAGCGTTTCCAAGTTCTCGATCGTTGTGATCTGGTTGTTGTCCTGTGATCCAAGAGCATGAGCAAGCGGTCCTCGCGAGTGCATCGATACAGAGCGTACCAGCTCCAGTTCCTCCAGGCGAACGCAAGCGCTGAGGCCGTCGATGTACGAGATGTCGTTGTCGGAGAAGGACGCAACCCGGAGTTGGGTGAGCTTCTCCAACTGACTCAATTTGGTCAGGAGTTCGTGGTTCACGTGCAGCTCGTCCACTTCGGCCCACCAAGGGCCATCTTCGTCGAACGCGGTGGTCCCGTTCCAGTCGTTGTCCTTGTTGCCGCGATTTCCTCCACTTGTCGACGATGGCCGGTTCAAATACTGCGCTTGGAAGATATCAAGCGCCGACAAGAATGCATGCGTGCTGCGCAACTGATTCCCTCGTGAGCACGTCCAGATCTTCAGAGGGGTAAGCTCGGTGGTCAATTCCATCGCGGTCTTTAACTCGAGTCGTGTCACGGTGGCCATGTCGAGCGTCGTGAGCTGCGGCAGCCGCTGAATGACATGGAGGCGATATCTAGACAAGGGTCGTGAAACTCGAAAACTATCGCCGCGACGCACCTTTTGGCGTCGCACAGGGCGTTGTTCCGCAAGTCCAAGTTTTGAATTTGCAGGTGGCCGAGAGCGCGAACGTCTTCAAACCGATAGAGCAAGTTGTTGTTGAGCAAGAGCGAATTGAGGTTGGCGAGGCTGCCGACGTTGTCCAGGCTGCGCAGGATGTTGTACCCGAGGTCGAGAACTTTCAGCGCCACGAGACCGTCCAAGCCCTCGATGCGCCGGATCTCGTTGAAGCTCAGCACGAGCCGCTCCAGGTTTCCCAAGTTGCACGCTTTAAACCCTTGGAGCGACTTGAGCCCACAACTCGTCAAGTTCAGGTCGCAGATGGCCGACAGATCCCCCTTCTGCCTCGATGTCTCGAGGAGAAAAGATGGGGTGATGGCGTGGCTGAGCCCCATCGCGTGCTTGCGAGCGATGGACGGCTCCATTTGAATCAATGCCTTGGCCTTTTCCTCGAGCAAGTGCTGTTCCAACAGCGGCTCGGTAAACGTGAGCTTGTACGTTGTTTCGAACGCTTCAGTGAGCGCAATCGCTTCGCCCATGTCGTGTAGGGCCTCGTCCGACACTGTCGTGGGCTTGGCAGCCACGTCGTCCAGGGGGGTCGTCGGAGGCGAAGATCTTGCAGAACTCTGCAGCAGGACACTCTGGCCCAGCAGCTGACTTGCGGCGTCCAAACACCTGTACTCGTACTCGACCAAGTACTCTGGCAAGATGAGTGCCGAATCCAAGACGTAATAGCACTTTTGCTTGGGGTCGGTGGGTTTCGAGACCTGCAAGCACTGTAGCTCGCCGACTTTGCCGTCGCAGCGGACCTGGGACACCGTAGCCGCGCTCGAGACGTGCCGCGTATGGCCTAGAAACACTTTGGCGATCAAGACCATTCCTGTTTGGTAGCAGAATTCGCCCGTCATGGCACGGCGAAGGGCCGTGCGCATCGGCAACGTCAATTCCCCTGGCGACTCCCATCCGAACGCGTCGAAGTTCGCGACCTCGATCGGGTCAACGTGTCCCGTGCCTTTTACGTGAAGCGCGGTGGCAAGGCGTGAGAGATCCAACGTCGCCAGAGAATTTGACAGCTTGATTCCACCGTCCGATACTCCCGCGTATGCGTCGACAGAGCGTAGTCCGCACTCGACTGCATACTCTTGTTCGCGCATCCCGCGAGACCCCGCGATGCCGCCATGGCCCGTGGGCACCATGTGATCCAAGATTGGTGGCTGTGCGTAGAACAAGTACTCGAGCGAATTTTCCAAGGACACACCGTCTTTCCCGATGGCCGCGACCTTCTCCACCGTGCCATCGTCCTTGGAATCCTTGACTGTGACGCCTCGCTTGCTGACATTTTCCTTGACCTGTTCGTCGGGGCCGTCCAAGAGCTCGTCCATGCGCTCTTGAAATCGATTGCGCAGAAATCGGTTGTTGATCCGAGCCACGCGGAGAACCTTGAGCTCCTTGACGCCAAATATGCTGAGGTCGTGAACGAACGCCCGCGACTTGAGCAAGTCGACGCAGCTCGTGTACCAAACATCGGCGGCGGTCCCATCTTCGACGCGGATATTCCCTCCCGTATTGAGCTCCAACACGAGCCGCCGAACCGTTTTTTCGCTCAGCAAGGCGAGCTTGGTCACGAGCGCATCGTACGCCGACGTCATGGCATGGACGACGCGCATCTTTTGTTGGATGTATTGGGAAATGCAATCTCGTTTCGTAACGAGAGATCCTGGCGGGTACAGCTGGAACGACGATGCGCGCTCGGCCTGGAGCTCCTTCTCCAAGTCGCTGAGCTCGCGCATGAGTGCGTTCAGGTTGAAGTTGGCGTAGTTGAGGTTGTCCGCGAAGCACGACCGGGCTTTGCGCACGCAGTTGGTCACGTTGCGCTTGATCGTTTTGATACGCATGTTGTAGTACATGCGCTTCTTGATGAGCGTCGTGTCGGCGACCTGTTTATTGGTCGACGTGAGCTCGATCGTGTCGAGGTAGGCGAGCGCGGGAAGTTGGCAGAGCAGGTACGTCTGGTAGTTGCAGAGGCGGCACACGGGGTTGTCGCCGTAGTGGGGGTCGCTCAGACTGAGGGACCGGAGCGCGGGGAGTTTATTCAAGCCATGTAGCATTTGAAACGAGCTGAGTTTGTTCGCGGCAAGATTGATTTCCTCGAGCGCCTTGTTCGCGTCGAGCCCGGTCTCGAGCGTCTCGATATCGTTCTTAGCAAGCCAGAGCTGCTTGAGTTGGACGCACGCGCTGAGCCCGGCAACGTGTCGAATCTGGTTGTCGTTCAGCCACAGCACTTGGAGCGACGTCAGGCTCGACAGGTGTTCAATTTTCGAAATGGAATTCGAACTGAGATTGAGTTGCGTCAACTTGGCACACGCGTCGAGATTTGAGATGCGTGTGAGGCCGCACTCGATGATGCGGAGGTTTTCGAGCAGTGGACAGCTCTCCAGACCTTCAATCACTGTGATCGTGGGGTGTTTGACTATCGATAACTGTTGGAGCATCCCAAAGTACTGCACCGACTTCATGGATTCCCAAAACCCGAGGAACATCTCGATCGACGTCACGCGGTCCCCCCGCCGGGCAAACTGCTTCCGTGTGAGACCGTTTGCAGTGCAGCATTCCTCGAGGTCCGGACTCGCATCAAACCACTCGAGCCTGTCGTTGTTGGACAAAGACGTTGGATCGTCGTCGTCGACATCTTGCTCCGGGGAGGACGCGTTGTCGACGTCCGGCGTGGTGGGCTCCACTGCATCGTGTGTCTTGTCTTGCCATCGTTGTTCGATAGGGGTGCTTGGAGTTGACATCTATCGCTCCAAGGAACATCCATGCACCGCACGGTGACGAGACGGACGGCGGGAGCGAGAAGGCGCGTCGCGTCAAGACGTTTCAAGTTGAATTGCAGCGGTTGTGAACACTGTCATAGTAATTCAATTCTGGAAAAAGTTGTTTAATTGGATGAAAAACAAGTACGAAAGAAAGATGACTGGATCAATGTAACACTATATTGCAATTGATTGGTGGAATAAATGTAATTTATGATTGGATAAAATATGGACTTCACTGGATTTTATTGGCAAATCCGCCGAGTGTGCGTTTTCCAACCAAAGGGAACATGTACTGGGATCTGAATGTGCCGACGGCGGCGATTGCTGTGGACCAGCAGTCGCATTACCTGGCGGAAGTGGCTCGATGTACAAGAAAACCTCAACGTGTATGTATGTATGTCTGATGGGTACGCATCTGCAGTAGGAATCGGTGGTATCGCGCTGAACGTTGAGAGTGATATGACCACAGCGCCTCCATCCTTGGATGACGTCCAGCCGTGGGAAATCAAACAGTCCAAGAAAACCAAGCCGCAATTGCACGGCCTCAGGATAGTCGATGGAGGACACGCTCTGCCTTCGGCGCTCCCCGATGGTCACGTCCGTCAACTTAAGCGCGTGACACTACAATGCGAAGACATGAATGCATTGCGGTCGTTGGTACGCCACAAATCTCATGAAGTATTGCCGAGTCATCCAGCGGCATGTGGACGTAGAACACCAACAAGATTGTTCAAGCGTACGACATCGTCGCGGTCGAAGCTCTATCTGGCCGGGTCTTCCAGTACCTCTGCGAACACGCAGACGTCGATCTCATCTCGTTTGACATGACGTGCCGCCTTCCGTTTCAGCTGCGCAAGCCAATGGTGTAGTTTTCTCCTCCCAATGATTTGATGCACTCAATCGAGTGGTGGATAGGTCGACTTGGCCATCAAGCGCGGCATCTACTTCGAAGTGAAATACATGCAAGCCCTGGGCGGTACGCTCCGTGGAAAGGTCGCATGCCGCCTCATTCATTTCCAGACTCGAGCAGCCGGCGCTACTTCTTCTCCAATGCCAGCAGCCTCATCCGTGTGACCAAAGGACGAAATTTGGTCTTTTCGAGCAGTGCCGTGCGGCACATGCTGCTACGTTCCCCATACGATATCATTAATATTGGCATGCTGATGGGTCTACAGTACGCGGAAGCAAGGGAGGCTGTGGGCAGTGCCGCCGCCGCCGTCATCGCGCATGGAGGTAAGATCAAGCACAAAAAATAGTGATCACTGACCTACGACCGTGTGTTGCTGAAAGACGCTCGACGAACGCGCGGCACGATGGAGGTCCGAACAGCTACAGATGCAGGAGATGTCGACATGGAGCAATTGTAGTTGTGTTTTAGAAATTGCCATTCATGGCGTCATCCTTCAAGTCTTCCTTAGTTTCGTCATCTTCTTCGATGGATACGTTTGGAGCAGCGTCGTCGATGTATTCTGCTGGATCGATTGAACGGCTCGCTATGGCGACGGGTTTCTTCGCGGCCGCCTTGGCTGCATGCAGGAACGTTTCGACGGGTGCCACGAATGAGTGCATGTCGATATCGTGCAAAGCTTTGATGACGTCCTGGGTAGAGATTGTCTGCCGTTTTTTTGCCTTGCACTCTGCATTTGCCCTACATTCATACGTGTTGGCACCACTCGAACAGCGCAAGATGTTCGCATACGCAGCAGTTAGATACAGAACAAACACACCCGCTGCAGCTTGAATCGTCTCCTTCGCTTCCTTTGTCAAACCCGCCTTGTCGCCCAGAGCCTCCTTGACAACTCGATTCACCGTTCCCAGCGGTAGGGTGAACTCAACCGGTGGCGCCATCCCACGCGCCGTACCCCGCGTTTTGAAAATGAGCCTACCGGATACATCTTCTGTATCCGGAAATCTGCTTTTTGAACTCTGTTTTCCCACGGCAACAAAAACAGATCTCCGTTTTGGCTGTCGCGCTGCTCGGACGATGGAATGGACAAGGCATCTGCGAGCCATCCATGTGCAAGTAGCTATGCAAGCATGGTCCGTCATGATTCAAGCTCCAAGAGGAAGTATTTGCGTTGAGGTGTGGCGAAGGAATTGTGTTTCGGTTGTTTGAAGCAGGGTGATGATTCGCTAGGAAGCAGCACTGGGTCGTCGATGCGAATGGTGGCTCATCCATGCATTCTGGTGCCGCAATTCGACTGCACGAACTGATTGGAATGGCTCGGCATACCATTGTACAACGGTAGCAAGGCTCCATCTCGAGCGATGGATCCATCCTGGCACTCTTTGCCGTCGTGCTTGGGCTTTGGTGCTATCAAAATGTGCTGCCCTTATCACAGTCGCAGTTTATTCCCAAGAGCAGCGCGCAGCGGACGTCAAGCCCACTGCGCGCTGCTGCGACACACTCGAATCAAATTCTGCCGCAGAGTGGACGGAGTCCTCGCCAGCACAGCTCGTTACATTGTGTTCCCAAAGATGTGGAACGAACTCAAACTCACATAGAAGGCATCGGTCCTGAGGTATGAATCGAGGAGTCCGGCGCTGTTGGGGCCACTATGTAACATGTGGATGCTCGTGGTTTCCAGAGAGTAATTCTGTCACTTGTGGCCTAGCATGAATGGGCGTCGATGTCGCATCCGTGTTTATACTCCCTGATCGAGCACGCCCCAATGCTTTGTCACACTCACCTGCGCGCCGGCGTGATCCAGTACAAAACCGAAGCATCATACCTCGCTTCAACACGAAGCCGTTTCGTCCATTAGATGCACACACGTTCAGCCAAAACTTTCACGCATGACCGCCGCCGCCCGCCGCTGCCTTCAGCACGAGGATCTCGATCCAGTCCAGAAGCCACATCGTTGGGGAGGTAAGCTTCAACATCCGCCAGCCAATCATGTTGCGCCAACATTGCATTTTAGCCAATCATAGAGCGAGGAAATGAACCAGCCAATCAGCGACGCCGAATGTCTCACAAGTCCTCGATGGATTGGGACAGATGACATGACATTTTCAGAAAGAGTATCAGGCAACATTAAGTTTGCGGCATCGTTCCAATTTTGACTTTTAAGCTTGGTATTTGTATACTTGTGCTGAAGGTGCTTCTTGCCCCCGTCGTCTACGCGTCCCTCCGTCGAAACCTTTCAAAAGTCATGTTGTATGTGGGGTGGCTGGGGATTTCGTGGGGATTCACCCATCGTTCCATTTTGCTTTGTGCCGTCGACGCCATGCTCGCAAAGACCCTCGCCGCCCGCCGCTCGTGTAAGTCCATCGCATCACAGAGTCAACGATGGGCGTGAGTGTGTGATTGTTCTGTCTTCATGTAGTCTCGACGGCGAAGAAGATTGCTGTTGCCAACCCGGTCGTGGACTTGGACGGTGACGAAATGACGCGGGTGATCTGGGACCAAATCAAAGCCAAGTTCGTGCACCCCAACTTGGACTTGAAGATCGAGTACTTTGATTTGGGCCTGCCGCACCGTGACAAGACGAACGATCAAGTCACGATCGACGCCGCGCACGCGATCAAGGAATTCAACGTCGGCATCAAGTGCGCGACGATTACTCCCGACGAAGAACGTGTCAAGGAATTCAAGCTCAAGCAAATGTGGAAGTCTCCTAACGGCACGATTCGCAACATTTTGAACGGCACAGTGTTCCGTGAACCCATCGTGATCTCGAATGTCCCGCGCTTGGTCCCTGGGTGGAAGAAGCCGATTGTCGTCGGTCGCCATGCGTTTGGCGACCAATACAAGTGCACGGACTTCGTCGCCCCTGGCCCTGGCAAGTTCAACATGACGTTCACCCCCGCCGACGGTGGCAAGCCCCAATCGTGGGAAGTGTACGACTACAAGGGTGCCGGTGTCGGCTTGGCCATGTACAACACGGACGAATCCATCTACGCGTTTGCTCACTCGTGCTTGTCGTTTGCATTGACCAAGAACCAAGACTTGTACTTGAGTACCAAGAACACGATCCTCAAAAAGTACGACGGTCGTTTCAAGGACATCTTTGAAGAAGTGTACCAAAATGAATACAAGTCCAAGTACGACGCCGCCGGCATCTCGTACACGCATCGTCTCATTGACGACATGGTCGCGCAAGCGCTCAAGTCGGACGGTGGGTTCGTCTGGGCCTGCAAGAACTACGACGGCGATGTCCAATCCGACATTGTTGCCCAAGGATATGGCTCGCTCGGCCTCATGACGTCCGTGTTGTTGGCCCCGGATGGCAAGACGGTCGAAGCTGAAGCAGCCCACGGCACCGTTACACGCCACTGGCGCGAGTACCAAAAGGGCAAGGCGACGTCGACTAACCCGATCGCCTCCATGTACGCTTGGACCCGTGGGTTGGCCCACCGTGGCAAGTTGGATGGCAACCAAGAGCTCGTCCAATTCACCCACGACTGGGAAGCTGCCGTCATCGAAACGGTCGAAGCCGGTCACATGACCAAGGACTTGGCCATCTGCGTCCATGGCACGTCCAATGTCACGCCCGACCAATACTTGACCACTGAACCCTTCATGGACGAAGTCGTCAAGAAGTTGAATGCCAAGCGCAGCAAGCACTAAATAAATCCACGCCAGTCTGTGCAAGTGCATGCATGCTTTCCACTACGATGGCGCTCGGTCTTTACATTTCAGCCAATGAAATTACATCGTGACGGCTGCATGTGGTCATTAGCCAATGGCCTGACGGGAAATTGTCGTCGGGTCGTAACATCTAGCCAATGGAATTTTGAACCTCACGGTGATGGGTACAAAACAACCAGACTTCAGTCGATGCCAGGTTAGATATAGCTGCTGCTTGCACACACAGGCGTTTGACTGCATCGAGTTTTGGTTGGAAGCCACGGATGCAGCTGGAAGTCGCGGAAGCAGCATCATCCTGAGCTGAGAGCTGCTTTCATCCGAGTTCCAATGTGTAGGTAAAGCGGCTCACGGAGCTGACCCCATTTGTACCGACGCGGAACGGCGTCGCAATCGTCGCATCAAGATTTTCACGAAACAACTTCTTGGACCTCATCAAACTAGGTATCAATGTAGCCAGGATAGATGGCATCGCATACATTGCTACAACGATTATTCACTTGCGCAAACACTGCTGCGGCACGGAGGACTCAAACTCTACAGCATATTGCACTACCCCACTTCACATGAACGGGACGTAACTCGGCACGATATGGAAGTTCTCTCTGGTGGTGGGTGCCCCAGCAATTTCGATGTCAATTGCCCCCAGCCACACAAGCGAACGCCCAACCGGGAAGAGGATCTTGGCCCAATCCGGACGCTTATCGTCGACGGAAACGACCTAGCAGCAGTTTCACTATTCATGCAGGGTGTCAGTGCTCCCAGCGATTTTATCGATCGACTCGACTTGTTGGTCGCGCAGGGTCGCCACGTCGATGCGTTCATCGAAGCGGCGCAGAAAGGCATGGCGTCTCACGTGAAAGCTAGCTTTAAGAGCGGCACCATCCCTATCAATGGGACCCACTCGGTAGGCTGCCCAGGCGCCCCCTGACCGAGGTTGACCGCTTGGTTGCAGGAGTTGGAATGGACAGCTTTGCATGCAGCGGCTGCGAACTGCCACGTCGAGATTGTTGAGTGGCTTTTGGCGAATGGTGCGGACGCGTGTTCGGTGACGGTATGTTGACCAGCCGATCCGTGTGGCACGTTCGTGACTCGGAGCGTTGCTCTCGACAGACCAAAAACAAAACCCCCCTCGCTCTGGCAGTGCAGCGCGGCCACTCATCCGTGGTGAAGTTGCTACGAGGTAGACACACGTGCCCACTTGTTTCGGTCCATGAGGCGGCATCTTGACGACGGACACAGGAAGTCGAAACTTCACCGCGGACGAATTCGTGGAGGCTGCGCGCCGCGGCAACCTTGGCGACGTCAATGCAATTGTCGAGTGGGGCATCGACGTGGACGCCACGAATGTAATCTCGATCGCGCAACACCCACATACGTCCAGCATTTGTCATCGTGTCGATGAGATAGAAGTACGGCGTGTCGGCGCTCATGTTTGCAGTGGAAGAAGGCCATGTCGATGTTGTGGCGTACTTGTTGCGTAAAGGCGCGAATGCAGTGTCGGCCACGACGGTGCGGATTAACATCGAAAGAAAGTGATGGGGCTGATCACATTGCCGTAGAGGTTTGGGACGTCCCTGTGGCTTGTCGCAGTGGACAAAGGCCATCCTGACATCGTTCGCAAGTTTCTGCGAGCGGGGGTGTCGGTTTTGTATAAAGACGTAAGTGCCAGTGGACCCCGTGCATGCTATTATTCCTGCATGTGTTGTGTTTGATAGCCATCTCTTTGTAGCCCGAAGACGACTCGACGGCGCTCCATATAGCTGCGGGACGAGGGCACGCGTCCGTGGCCGCCATTCTTGTGGAAGAAGGGGCAGACAAAGCTGCTTGCACAACCGATGGCGACACACCGTACCGAATTGCATGGCGGAATCGGCACCTCGATGTGGTGGACCCATTGTCCGGGTTGTCGCTAGAAGCGATTCTAAGTTAGTTTTGCGATAGAGTTTGTCCAATAAACGAAAGCGTTGACATCGCCATGCTCTCGACTGAGTGCCCGTCCTACACATCCGCGTGGGGAATGGCCGCACTTTCACGAAGGACACTCCACGCAGGTCGACACGCTAAGCTGTGATCCTCTCATGCAGGCCGCGCGCATTCACAACACCCTGACGTCCATTGCAACATTAACGCTTTCACTGCGTCACTGGGCTCGGCGGAGCATGGGCTTCACCTGGTGCTTGCCGCCACCAGACCCCGACGCGCGGAGACGCCAACTTGTCACACTATTTATATCGAATGGAACACTATTTTCATTTTTCGTATCCGGATTCCGGTTGAAAAACTCGGTTGAACTCATCGTGACAACGGCGATGAAGGGCTTGATCCTGGTCGGAGGGTTTGGCACTCGGCTGCGGCCGCTGACGCTGTCGTACCCGACGCCGCTCGTAGACTTTTGCAACAAACCTCTGGTGCGCCATCAGATAGAAGCGCTTGCGTCCGTCGGCGTCGACGAAGTCATTTTGGCCATCAACTACCAACCCACAGCGATGCTGGCTGCGCTGGCGACCATGTCGAGAGAAATCGGCATTCGCATCGCGTGCTCCCACGAGACCGAGCCGCTGGGAACGGCTGGGCCGTTGGCGCTCGCCCGAGCACACTTGGAAAGGCACCCCGACGACCCGTTCTTCGTCATCAACAGCGACGTTATGGCAGACATGACAGTGCTGCCGGAAGCACTGGCGTTTCACCAAAGCCACGGAGGAGAGGGCACGATTCTCATCAAAAAGGTCGAAGAGCCGAGCGAATATGGCGTGGTTATCACAGACCCCGAGGGCTCTGGTCGTGTGGACCGGTTCATCGAGAAGCCTCGGGAATACGTTGGCAACCACGTCAACGCTGGCATTTACATCTTGAACCGAGACGTCTTGGACCGTATTGACGTAAGTACGCAAGTGTCTCTGCGCAGCGCTCATATCTTGCTTGCAGCTGCGGCCGACGTCCATGGAACAAGAGATTTTTCCGCAGATGGCGGCTGAAGGCAACTTGTTTGCGCTGCTCCTCCCTGGGTACTGGCAGGACGTGGGGGAGCCCAAAGTACGTCGCACGACCGCATATGCATGCGTGTGGCAGATCCATTGAGCTGTAGAACTTTTTGTCGGGGATGTGCCGGCACTTGCAATTCCTTAACTCGCACAGCTTGCTGCGACCACGACCTGGGACGGTTGGACATGTGCTGGTGGTACGATCATCGTGCTAAATCGACGAAATGGATGGCTACCGTCGTGTTTTTCCCACATGGCTCTCACAGAACCGATGGGTAGGATCCAACCGCCGTGATCGGGGAAGGTTGCTTGATTGGGCCCGATGTCGTGATCGGAGCGGGGTGCGTCATCGAAGAAGGTCCATTGAATGAGGCACGTGGAAAGGATTCGGTCATGATGATGATGTAGGCGTTCGGCTGAGCCGCACGACGTTGCTGCGCGACGTGACGGTTCGCTCGCACACGTGGATTCATAACAGTATCATTGGGTGGGGCTCCACCATCGGCCGATGGGTACAGTCCCAACGTGCGGTCGTCGACGCTTTGATCAGTGGGTAGTGCCGCGTCGAAGGGCTGACTGTACTTGGCGAAGACGTCCAAGTGAAAGATGAACGGTTTCTCAATGGCGGCCTCGTCCTGCCGCACAAAGCGATCTCGACCAACATCCCCGAGCCAGGCACGATCGTCATGTAATGCTGCCGTCGCGCGCGGCAACCAGTCGAGTAGTGTATGGATTCCTAAGCACGAAAAGCGACTGTGCACGAATTTCGACGATGCCTTGCTCAGTTTTCGCACGCGGAGCCGCGAGCGTCGGGACGCGAAGGTGTACGTGGCATTGCCACAGAGCAGTCCTGTGGTGTGCATTCCCAACACGAACACGATCCAGCAGCTCGATTGGCAAACAGGGCCAGCTCCGACCACTAGCCACAGAGTCCCCACCGACGCGACGTCACTTTCAAAGCCTTTGCCGCCAATTGGAGCCACGTGTGTAGATAGCGTGCGATGGCCAACCGAGGTGGGCGACTCGCTTGCCACGTACCAAGACGATCCGATGCGCACGGTAAGTGTCCCTGCCACATGCTACGGCGCTCCGCGTGACGACCTGTGTGTTTCATTGCATCGGTGGCGGATTTGGATGTTGTCGACTGTGCCGAGGGGTCCTCTCCCTCCGTCTGTCATCAACCATCTTGCTGCACCACAGCTATCGCGAGCTAGCTGTGAATGCATTCCATCAGCGCGCTACAGCTTTGCAAGCACCCAGCGTCCACACAGGGAGGGGCGCCTGGCGCGCGCTGTGCACTCGGCGACAGGACGCCGGCGTTTGTCAATCGACAAACGTTCTCAAGATTGATTCGCATGCATTCTCGTGTAGACGCAGGAGGCCACAACGTGAGAAATCCCCCATGGTGCGAGCGCTGGTCGGTGTTGGTGGGGTGTTTTCGATCGTGGCTCTGTGGGCCGTGACGCTGCCCCCTGCTCGCATGGAGAACGCGTCGAGTATCGCAGTAGGGATGGACGGTGGCACCGGTCGCAGCGTCGTGGAGAAGAAGGCACAAGCGCTGGCGTTTGTCGACCAGCAGCTTCGGTCCAACCCGACGATCCCAGGGCTGGCGTTCTCTGTCGTGTACAAGCATGACACGGTGATCGCACAAGGGCTCGGCACAATGAAGGTGGGGCGACTCGATGGCTTGGATTGATCGGGCTGACCACCAGCGCGTCAATAGGCTGGCAACCCCCACACGCCGGTAACACCGAGTTCGATGTTTCAGATCGGGTCGTTTTCCAAGACGTTTATCGCGCTCGGTATTGCCAAGCTCGTACGTCGTTCCCGTGCGATCTCTCGGCAATCAACGATTTTCAAATGTGTAGGTTGACGACGGCGTAATGACGTGGACCGATCCTGTCGTGCAGCATCTGCCTTGGCTAAAGCTGCAAGACACCTACGCCGAAATGTACACGACGCTTGGGGACTTGCTGTCCATGAATTCCGGGCTCGGTGCATTTGACGGCGACGAGGCCTTTGCATTCGGCTTGTTTCCAACCGAGCGTGCGGTGGTCGAGCACTTGAGCCAGCTCAACTCGACGCGCGCTCTCCGAAGTGGCTACGCGTACTCGAACATGAACTTTGAGATCCTTGGCCAAGTCATCGAACAAGCCACGAACGAGACGTGGCCAGCATTTCTCAAAAAGACGATCTGGGACCCGCTTGGCATGAATCAAACGTTTGCTGCGTCGGCGGACGCTGGCGACAACGTCGCCGAGATGTCGCATGGCCACATGAGCTGTGGATCCAAAGTGATCGGTCCCTTCGACACTGTGACAGATTCGATGGCCATGCTGACCCCTTCCTCTTCCGGGCACTTGGCAGCAGGCTCGGTCGTGAGTTCCGCCAACGACCTGGCGACATTCACCCGGTTTCTACTGAGTGATGGCCGCGCGCTGTTCAAATCGGCGACCCTCCTTGACGACATCACAACAGGCCACACCGCTCTCGACAACATGGTCGTGGTCGGCAACGACGCTGCGGATGCGTTGGGCTATTCCTTCCATCCCGGCGGCAACACGATCGCGGCCGGGTACGGCATCGATGTCGTTGGCCACGTCATGTTTGGCTACGACTTCTTCACCAAGAACGGCGACACAGCGACGTTCAAAGAACGCAATGGGTTCGTACCGAGTCAAGGCCTCGGCGTGGTGTTGGTGTCGAATAGTAACTCGTTGGCTCCCGAAGGGTCGGCTGCATCGTTCCTACTGGATCGCATCCGAAGCTACGTCCTCGGCATCTTCTTGGACGTGCCACAAGCCGACTTGGACGCGATGTGGAATCAAGCCATCTCTCGGTCGAACCAGATCCAACCAGATAACGTGGGCCATTGTGACGCTCGATATTTTGACGGCGCGGCATGGAACAAAGACAACGTGGCAATCCCACGGGCCATCCAAGCCAAGGTGGTCGGTTCGTACGTGGCGGTGGCTTCGCCTGGGTTTTATGGCCATGTCGAGTTGATGCAACGCAATGGGAAGCTCTACCTCCACTATGGCAGCTACAACCGCGAGCTGTTCGCAACGGCCGACCCCGCCATGTTTATCTGGGACGTTCGCCTTGCCGCGGAAACTATTTGGGTGCAGTTGGCAGATATCGAATCACCCAAGGCCACGGTCTCGCTCATGGGAATGCTCTTCGTTCGCGACGCTTAGTTTGACTTTGTTTTTGATTGTGGCCATCTCTCGTGGCAAATACATCTTGTGGTCGGGCTTTACTGACCTTTTCCGTTGATGTGGCATGCCGCGGCTCGCTCCGTTGAATACATGAACAATATCTGACTCCTTCCGACACTGACTCATTATCATTTACATGGATGTTCGCGTAATGAAAGGGTGGCAGGTCGGCGTGCGAGGGGTTGATGGCACCGGGGGCTCTACCGATAGGCGACAACGATCGCCGGACCACTACGCAGGCCTCCCACTTGTCGTCTGGAATCGCCAGCAACCAACTTCCCGAACCTTCCAGGTAAAAGTACAGCAGCAGAGCGTCCCAGGTACGTGTATATTGCGGAGTGTCGTACAAGACGTCGCGATTCCTCACGGTGTTGGCCGTATCTCCGTCCATGTTGAGTAGTTTGGATGAGTGGGGCAGTTCAATCTCCTCGGCAAGCCTCCTGAAGCGAATGCAAGCGCCAACCAGGACAGGAACGTGAATCGTAGTCATCGTTATTCTAGCCAGACTGATCAACGAGGAAGCATCGAACCTCCCGTTGGATATCGTCGCCGTCGACTATCTCTGCAGGACGCATCCAACCCATGTAGCTTGCATTTGAGAGACAGGCATGGGTCAGCATGCTTGACTGACACCACGATTTCACCGGTGTGTTTATCTGGGACCGTCGCTAAGCTCGTTCGCCAGGCTCCATCGTCCGAGACCGGCGCAATTTGTGAGCTGTTGGGGTCGCTACAATCCCACAACGTGTTCCAGCGATCTGATTGGCTTCTACATCTTCGTGTGCGCTACGTCGATCCTTGGAACTTCAAGTTGGCATTTTATCCAATGAAATCACGATCCTCTGCATTTGTCAACTCATGATTGGCTCGTACACAGATGAAGGGGTTGGGGTACTGCGGGGCGCGTGTCAGCGCGACGTCACCGGTGCCGCGGCGTGATGCCGGCGATGCGCCGGGGCCGCGCGCGCACCACGAGGCTGCTGGCACCCAGGCATTTCTACGCCCATTCTCATCTGATCGCTCCACTCCTCTGTCCCCGCCAGCGCATCTCGAGTGAACGTCATCGTCGCTTCTTGCGCCGGTCGTGCGACGGCACCCTGTTCGTCCTCACCCGATGCACAACACCTTCTGCTCTCATCCACATCCCAGATGCTCATGCGGTGACCGCCGCGCCAAGCAAGATCATCCCTCCATATGGTCCTCCTCCTTTGGTCGTGTGGCACACTCTCTCTACCCATACGTTCTCTGGGTGTCTCCGCCATCAGCATCTCGCTGGTTCGAATCGCTCAATACACAGATGCGTTTTGGAAATCTCGTTGGTCGTCGGAGCATAGTCGTGGCGCGTGAGCCGCCCCCTCTGGGATTTGCCAGCCGTTGGATTGCAACTTCAACTGGCTACAACTTCCACCAGCCAAGCATTGGGTTCATCATCGTGGTCGCTGCCATGACGCCGCGTTTGTTTCACTCGACACTGTGCCACCATCACGACCGACCGGACGTGCTCGTTGTGCGACACCACTGGCATCACTGCCTCCACTTGGATGATTCAAACTTTCCTAGCGACTGCTGCGCGTGGTGTTTCGAAGTTTGTGGTGGTCGCGTCCCATTTCTCATCCGTCTCCATGACGATGTCTTCGATGTCGAAATCGCGCTCCATGTCGACCGCAGACTACGAGACCATCGTGTCGTGCCTAGCCCACGTGAACGGGTTCAACACGCTCTTCCTCTTCGCTTCCCACGTTCTCGCGATCGCGGCACTCCAGTACATTCCAGTCTGCCGGTGGCAGACTCTCGTCTTCTCGGGACTTCTCTACTACACGAGCATCCTTGGCGTCACCGCCGGCGCCCACCGGTTGTGGGCCCACAAAAGCTACAAAGCCCACGGCATGGTCCGTTTTGTCCTCATGTTGTGGCACTCGACGGCCAACCAAGGCTCGGTCTTCGACTGGAGTCGGTGGCACAGGCTGCACCACACGTTCGCCGACACCGACATTGACCCCCACTCGATTCGCCGCGGGTTCTTTTACGCGCACATGGGATGGCAACTCGTCCACCCGACGGCCCAAATGCACACGGCGCTCGCCAACCTGTCCTGCCACGACCTCTGTCAAGATTGGGTCGTCGCTTTCCAGCACCGCTTCCACGTCGTGTTGAATCCAGTCTTGTGCTACGTCGTTCCCGTCGCGATCGCGTCCGTGCTATGGCAAGAGGAGTGGCGCACGGCGCTCTTGGTCGCGGGTGTCCTGCGCCATGTCGCTGCCCTCCACGCGACGTGGCTTCCCAACAGCGCGGGCCACGTCATCGGCAACAAGCCGTACAATGTCGCCATGTCTGCCCGCGACAGTGTCTGGATAGCTCTCGTCACGTTGGGCGAAGGGTACCAGAACTGGCACCACCAATACCCCCAAGACTACGCTGCCGGCGAACACGATGACCAGCCGACGTGGCAGCTCAACACGACCAAGGCGTTCATCGACGTGTGTGCGATGGCGGGTGTTGCCGGCCACCGACAACGGGCGCTGCATCTCTGGGGTCAAAAGAAATGGGTCCTGCGCTCGCGCCTCCAGGACGACGTCGGCCTCTACCGACGACAAAGCCCCTCTACCTCGCCCAACACGTAACTCAACCACCATATTTATCAATTCGCATGCTGAGCCGACTTGCCAAACAAAAACTCGGGTATTATTAATAATTTCGCGCGATTTTTTACAACCACAAGAAATGACGTATATATTGAAATTCCTCGAGACATGCTGAATACAAGCAGTTGGTTTCGAGTCAATTTCAACAAAAGGAGGCAAAAAATGCTGAAATTGCCCACTCGAACTCTCGAGGCATCGAGGAATTTATACTAGATTAAACTATGACGGACGTGAACCCTTCAAAAAATATTATCTTGTAGAGGTTTTTCATTTTTGTACAGGAATGATATCTTGAAGGAGCGGCGCACTACAGTATGATTGAAGAATGAACCTCTTTCGAACTTATGTGCAGCTCAACCTTCGTGCCTTTGAATTCTAATGTATTTTACATCATCAAATTATGAGGGGATTTAGTTGCTGGAGTATTGTATTTCATCCAATTACACGATTCTTGCGATTCTATTGGGTGATGGAGCTTGGCGGATTGCGGAAAGCCGACGTTTCCATATGGACGTGCGCACGGGGGTGTGTTCAGTGTTCTCGGCATCATGCCGCCGACGGCTAGCCCCACCTCTCCGACGCTCGTTGGCGGCGCTTAAGGAGAAATTTATTGTCGTGCCGATGCGGTGGAGTGCGGCGCCGGTGTCATGGTGGACATGCAAGTACTAATCCTACAAGATGGACCGAGTCTGGTCCGCCGGTTCGAGGAGGCAACATACGTTGACACACCCATTGAATTCGGTCATGCAGTTAGTCGTCTCGGGGCGGCAGCTACACTTAGGTGGCGGTGGGGGTGGTCCAGTCCTTGCTGATCGGGCCGTAGTCGTTGATGATTTCGCGGTGGCAACTCCACACGAGCTTGATCGCTTCAGGGGTACCAATGGCGCCGGCGCGGGGGTCGCCGGCAGGGCCGAACCAGTGGTTTTGCGGGGCACCGGTCGTGCGCGCACGGATGCCGTTGTACGTGGTGCCGTTGACGGTGTGGGCAAGGATATGTTGCTGGAACGCAAAGTCGTTCGAGACGACAGACGCCGTCAAGTGCGCTTCCATGCGCTCGAGCATCGACAGAATGGTCTCGACGTCAGCGTCCGTGTCGTACTCGGTGATGATTTGGAACGGGCCAAAGATTTCCGTCGTGACCAAGTCAAAGTTCTCCGGCTTGGTTGCCTCCGACAGCGGCACAAACACCGCAGTGGGTTCCAGCGCGCCGTACTCGGACGGAATCGAGTGGTTCTCTGCGACACGAGACCGTCAGACCACCACAGATCTCCCACACCACCACGTACTCAATTCCTTGCCACCAAACGCGACGCGAGCGCCAGGAATCTTGAGCAGAGCGTCGATGTGGTCGAGCATGCGCTTGGTCGTCACGGTGAGCACAGGGCCAACGGTCAAGTCGTCCAGCTTGCGACGCGCAGCCAGCTTCTTGATCTTTTCTTCGATCCCGGCCTTAGCCCTGTGGTTCACATGCATGAGTGCGACCGGTTTGCCATGGATAGCATAGATGCAAAATGTACCAGTTCTTGTGGTAAAACAGAATCGATTGCGCCGAGCACTTTTGGCCAGAGCATGCGTACGCGTCTTGGTCCGACACCCACGCAACATAGTCCACGTCAGCGACATCAGGGCCCAAAATCTACTCGAATCGATGCGCGTCAAGGTCGAGTCCGCTTCGAGTCGTGCCCAAGTATACCTTCCAGTCGAACCCAGCATCTTCGAGCTTGATGCGACCCTTCAGTTCGGCGGCCAACTTTTCGGCCACCACCGACGACCTGGTAGACAAAAGTATCACTTTGCGATATCCACACAAAAAAACGAAATTCGGGCTGAATAAGTGGCCATTTTCAACCAAAAAAAGAGAGCGTCGAACATGTCAGAATGCAGAAAACGTACCCCGTGAAGAGCGTGTTCTTGGGGTTCCCCTTGAGCAAGAGTTCGTTCATGACAGGGCCGTCCGAGTTGATAAAGTCGACGTCGTTGAGAGGCATGCCACATGCGTGGAGCATGCGGAGGGCCTCGTACATGACAACCGCGACCTTCGAGTCGAGCTTGAGCGTTGGACGGTTGCCCATGTAGAGCGCGCCGAGCATCTGCAAGACGGGAATTTCAAGCGGAAAGTTGAAAGGCGTGACGAGGGCCACGGGGCCGTACGGCCAGCGGTGGCCGTTGCTCATTTGGCCCAAGTGGTCGCCGGGGACACCAAACGAGCGCGCGAGGAAGCGCACTTGGTCGCCGGAAAAGTTTTCCAAAAACTTGCGCGTCACGACCACTTCGTTCTTGGCTTGAATGTAACTCTTGGGCGCCACGCGCTGGATCAAGCGGACGAAGTAGTGCTCAATGTGGGGCTCACGAAGCATCGCGGCGGCTCGGTTCGAGATTTCACCGTACAGCAAGTATCGTTCGACGTTCTTGAACGGGTTGTGGAGACCGTGCTTGGGGGTCGAACGGAGGTTGTCAATGAAGGGCTGGAGTTCGTCCTTTTGAGTCAACGGGACGTGCATGAACACTTCGCCGGTCATAGGGTCCTTGATGCCTTCGGTCTTTCTCGTGCTCACCCACTCGCCGTTCACTACAGCATGCGACGCACGACAGGTCAGTCGTGGGTTGTGAACCACGAAACAAATGGCATACCCAAGTTGTGGATTTCAGCGGGGGCCGAGCCTGAAAGCGTCTCGGGGTTCACCTTGGCCCACGAAGGAAGCGCATGGGCAGTGGAGGCGTTGCGGCGGAGGGCAGCCGAGACTGGCGCCGCACGAAAGAGCGCACGTGACAACATGGTGGCGAATTCGAGAATGATGCGACTCGTGCTGTGGACCACGGGCGCACAGGGGCTTCGAAGTTCGAAGTTCTCCCGTTGGACTTTTTCAGCCAATCCCATCGCGTCCACCCCGCCCTCTTGTGCACATTCGGAGTGGGACGATGTCGAAGTTTGAGGGAAATCGAAGTTTCGCACCTCCCGCCGCGCTTCAAGTTCCGTCGCGCAGCACATGACGTGACTGGGGTGGTGGCGGCGTCGGCTTCCGGGCCACCAGGCGACGACAGCCTCGACATGAGGCTGATCCCACCATGGTACTAGTCAAGCGCCGGCGCAGAAGCATGCGGGACAAGCCGTCCACGATGCGCATGAACGCTCGCTACATGTAGTAGTGACCTGCTCGCGCGACGTGCAGCTGTAGGAGACGACATCGGTTGTGGAGTGATTTGAGCGGTCACTTGATGTGGGGTGGATGGTGGGTGCAGTTGGGGGTACGAGCCGCGTGTTGCCTCGAGGCTTGCCAAATTTTTGCCAGCTCATGACCGTAATTCAACGTCAACAGCAAGCTCACGATGGCTCGGTCCACCGCGAACACGACGGATCGGGCCACCGTGGCGGTGGGCACCTCCATATTTGTTTGACTACATCGATGCAGCCAAGCATGCCATGTCGTGCATCCATCGAACTCGACGCGATGCACTGGGTCGACGACACTTGGGCGCATGCATGTCCATGTCGGACGGCGACTCGCGGCGTCCAATCGACTGAGTACATCGTTGCGGGTCTGTCCTCCATGTGGTGGTGAAAGATGATATTGCGCCGACATAGTTCCTCGCGGAAATCAACGTTCGTCAGTTCACTGACGCATGGATGGAACGGGGCGGACTTCGTGACACCGCCTCGCATACGTGCTCCTGGTTTCCCGTTGTCGATGGCTCTATCCTGTACAGAGTTGCAAGACGATTTGCCACCCCAGGGATAAGCTGCTGATGCACCGTGCGCTGTGCCCGAAAGAAGTTGTTGCATCGGGTTGTCGCCCTGCGCAAGGTGGCATGTCCATACCCGAGATGTAGCTGACAAGGAGCGGCGCCAGGGAATATTGCAGGAGCTGGTTGAGTGACTTGGATAGAGGCGACCGTGGAGCTGGCCGTCCATCCACCGCAGCCTGACGACTGTTCTCGTCCCAGGGCGAACATATTGGATGAGCAGGCCGCGCAAGGCTCATTGCCAGGACGGCGAGAACTCATTGAGCCCAACCAGGCAAGGCGGCAGGACAGATTGAAGGTGGTAGACTGGTACTGTTTTGCTCGAGGAGGCCGAGGCAGGCATGCGACCTTTTGAACCAGGACGAGCGGCGCTCAAGTTGTCCACGGCTGAGCATGACAGCCACGACGGGGTTTGTATTTTACGTTCGAATCTACGTTTCTATCGGGACATTCAAAGCGCGGCTCCATTCGCACGTGCTTGATGCCGCTCTGTTGGAGGAGTCGTTTCCCGCGCATCGAGCCGTCGACGGATTGATCCTTTCAACCAGGACTTGTTCGCACGGCGCACTGTTCTTGCATAACGGGGGACACAAGGTTGGATTGACGAGACGCTCCATGGGGCTGCCTTCGCTCGGGACTATTGCTTGTCGGGTTCTTGGTTTGCACCAACCTGGATGCCTGTGACCCCATTCCTTCGTCCTTTTGCTCCACGCTTGGCCAACTCCTCCGGTGTAAGGCTCTCAATGTCAATTCCGTCATCATCGTTGTCGTTTGCCTCGGGTGCGTCCGCACTCTTCGGGTCCATCGCGCTGGGTCGCTTCTTTCCGCTCAAAGATCGCAAATGCCCCCATGCGGTCGAAACTTGGTCTGCCCAATCACGAGCTAATAATTCGACTGATCTAATATCGAGATGTATTGAATTTTACAGGGATATGTCAGCAAGAAAAGCCGAATCAGAATTTCCTTGCATTTGTTTCTGGAGGTTATGGAGTAAAGAGGAACTCCCCTGCTCAACGCCCAAACTTTGGTGGGTTCCATTCCAGCAGCACCCTGTCGCCACGAACGTGATGCCGCCGCAGCGGGAGACGTTCGCGCTGCCAAGATGCATCCTTCGCACGGCCAGACTATCATCGAAGGGCACAACACGTGCATCAGACTTTGTCTTCGTAACGGCCGTGCATGCGACCCACGGCCTTGGCTGTAGATCGCTGCATTTCTCTGCCCAACGCGTGCACACTTGATCTGGCGCAAGAACGGGATGCTAGAACGGAAGAGAAGACCGGCAGAGAGCGCGTGGTGTATAGTTCTAGGACGTGCTGGCGGGAATGCGAGCAACACCTGATCATCAGGGCGAGTCATGTTAGTTGTTCAAATCTCGTCAACTGAAGCGTCGTCGGCGCGATATTTTGCAGGGTCGATGCGATACCTACGAGGCATGTTAGAGGGGAACGTGGGTGAATGCACGAGAATACATGTTGCCGTATTGGATCGTCGGCGTGTGGTCGCTATCGACGTCGACGATGCACACCGCCATGGCTACATTGCGGATGCTCAATTTGGCAAGTAGGAGAGACCGACGTACTGTTCGCATCCAGTATGCGATACGTGATCGTCACCATCGACTCGTGCAAGCAAAAGTTGAAGATTGCGACGCTCGCTTCCGGTTTGAACAAGCCATGGCACATGGCGCCTTCGAAGCTCCACTCCATGAACGTTCCCTTGTTGTCGGGAATAAACTACACAGCTGTCAGCACCATCTTGGCTGCGAACGAGGGCGCTGTACTTGAATCGTGTATGCAACGGTGAGCTCGTTCTTTCGCAAGCCGCGCCCAAACGACCACTTTAGGAACCTAGCGTCATGCATGCACGATGAGTCGATGACGACGACGGCGGGCCGAGTGGCCTGACGTGGTGTTTGGTTGTTTGGCTGCCGTCGTGTCTTCCTCGATGACCACGACGTTGTTGGTCGTCCGAAGGTGGCCGAAGGACGAACCAAAGTTCCTCCACTCCAGCGTTCGCTTCCATGTCCCCACCAGGTACGCGGCAAAGTCGCCGTCCTTGACGTCGAACCGCGTCGTGGACATTTCTCGCAAGTCGTTTTTGACATCCGAATAACACAAAAATATTTTGCATGATTTATTTTTTGCCAGGAAATATATCTTTTTTCTTGTTAATACTTTTGCAAATCCCAAAGTTTACATTTTGTAATACTCCTTTGACTTCTGGTGTCGATTCCACGATAGAAGGGACATATCGAATGAAATATACAAATATCAAGTGATCGTCGGCGGAGGAGAGACCAAGCTTTTCCTTTGTCAAAAGGGTATATCGATACAAAGACTCAATATTTCACGGAACGACACTGAAATAGGCCGCCCCCCAAATTTTGATTTTTAAACTTGAATTTGTGGTTATATCAAATGGGCGAATTCCATTGGCTAAATATGTACCAGCCACCATCCCTGTACGACTTGATAACCTTGTCAGCCAAATTCACCACCATCCCCGAGGATGTTCCAAAGCGTCGACAGCGCCATTAGCTTGCACAAAAGATCAAGACTGCATTCTTGGCGGAGAAAACTTCCGTTCAGCACACAGCTGTAACAACTGGTTATCCTGCTAGATACGTACACGTCCGTGGCTACAATCGAAGGCCACCATGACGTCGTTCAAGGGGTCCAAACACGAAAGAAGAACATTGGCACATGCGGTGGCAAGCCCATCATCCCCCAACCACGTGAGGTGATCACATACCTCAAGGATCTACGACACTAGGTGATGGCCGGGACACATCTCCCCCCATTGTCTCCCCTTGGGCAATGGGAAGTTTCCTATAGCAGGTGTTTTATTGACCCACAACGTGTTTGACTTGAATAAAGTATCAAATAAGACAAGTTTTACTGTTCATGACGCATGTTATGGGCCCCAACGCGAGGACACACACACTACTGCTCTGTGTTGATTAGTTCTAAGGATTCATAACCTGCAAGAATAAGCGCTAAAAGCCTCCCCAATGTATGTAAAAAAATTCTTTTTGTCATGATACCCGTGTAAAATCGATACCAGGCTCACCATGTTCGTTTGAAGTTGTCGGATCCCGAGAGTTCGTCGTCCCTGATTGGACAATACTCCGATGCCCTCGGTCCAATCACACATAAGTGTCTTCCTCAGCATGGTTTGACAACGAGTTTAAAAACGACATCGATATCATGTCCTGTTATATAAGAAATTTTGTCGTTGGCGGGGGGAGTCGTCTTTGACATCGTCGCCAGGCCATCAGCGTGCCACAGCACCGCTCACGACCCACTGGTGACTGTCTCAGTCATCGGAAAAATGGCCTCATGTCAACCCACGGGTGGCAACGAGGGGTTGTCCGTGGAAGGCAGACTTGCTTCATGACGACGATCGGGCGACCACTGACTGGTGTTGGGTGCAATTCACGCAGCGCTACATTTTGAATGTACCCATCTGGGTGCTGCTAGAGACTCCTGCTGTGTTTCTAAAACGGTCGACTTGACAGCGTCGTCGCGTTGTCAAAGGCATGTGCTTTACAACGTTGCTTCCATTTGCAGGAAGCAAATCGTTGGCAGCCACACCCGTCGACACCCTGGATAGAAGATGCGTATTTCCTGCGCCAGGAGCTTGGCCCCATGCTATGGGAATATGTGTTGAAGTGCTAATTATATACATCGCACCGTCGTGCTGGTAAATTGTCGCGGTCTGCATCGACCCTTCGTAAAGCATCCGAACGGGGCAGTCGCGGGGAGCTGCTCGGTCCGTCGAGCACGTTTCGGTTTGCGGTGTGACCTTTCAGCACGACCTTTCGGCCGGATACATAACCGCCCAATCAGAAGCCATAACGACGTTTCAGGAACCAATCATAACAATGCACCAAATATTGAGGACCAATCCAAACCGTCGCCGTTTTGCCAGCGAGTCGTCGCCAACCTGCACGAGGAGCTCACTTTTCAATTGTAGCCCGACCAACGACACCCGTGACGCTGTCTCGATGCATCGCTTCGTCCTGTCCGCGGGTGTGCTAGGCGTCGCTCAGGCCCGCGTCGAGTGGATAACACAGTTCAACCCACAAGAAGAGTCGTCGGTGTTGCTCACGTCGTCCGATGTCGGCGTCGGGTTCGGCAAGGAGCGGAGCCCAGAAGACTACCCCCTGTGCAAGTGGCCCGCGAATGATGATCCGACCGGATTCAAGTACGATATCACGTCCGCATGGTCGACGGCGTTGGCGAACCCGTTGAACCCGAGCGCAGGCACGTTCCAAGAAACGCGCGACGTGTGTTTTCCAAACATTTTCGCCGACAAACACAGCTTGTACTACCCGTACCCGCGAAGCAGCTACAACTACGATCTCGACCCGGCATGGCCGAGTCCGCTGGGGGAGAAGCCGCGCGTCGAAGTCGACATCGAATACGACGCGAGCAGCACGTACACGACGAATAAAAAGACCGTCGACGCCGTCGACTACAAAACGTTTGAATCGACGGGGCCGACGATATTGTACAACGCCGTCCCCAAGGGCCGCGGCACGTACTTCGTGGACGTGAAAGCATTTGACTTTGACTCGAGGGCGTCCATCGACTGCTCCACCTGCTTTGTCGTGAACGACTTGTTTCGGCCCAAAGGGAACTCGGGACAGTGCCCCGCCTCGCCCCCATCCAGTGGCATTTTCAGCTCCGCCACCGTCAAGGCGTACGAAACCAGCGCCAAGAAAGTCGTCGACTACAGCGCCAGCGCCACCAACAACGCGTGCAGTGACGACCGGTGCGACACAGTGTACCTCAAGCAAACCGGGATTGCGTCGGCATCGGCCACGACGTCGTTCGAAAGCAAAACGTTCGGCCCGTTGGGGAACGTGCCTGGCAACGACTTGACCAAGGACATCGTGCAGGCCAAGTGGACAACGTGCATGGCGCAACCGTTCTCGAACGACGAGTGGACCGACCTCATCGTGAGCCCGATTCCGTCGGACGGCGGCGCCCCGCAGTACAAGTCGTGCAAGCGGACATGCGCGATCGGCGTCGCGCTCAAGGAATGGTTCACCGAGTACACGTGCGAATTCCACAATCCGTTGCAAGCGAGCCGCAAGCAGTGCGTCGGCGACGCGGCCGAATCGTGCGACTTTGAACAGTCGCTGTCGTTTCCCAACGGGAATGCGCTCGTCCAGAGCGTCGACGTCCGCTTGAAAGTCCAAACGACCGGGCCATTCAAAGGCAAGTCGTCCGTGAAAACCATCATCCACGACCCGTCGGCCGTGTTTGGCGACGCTGCCAAGTACGCGTCGCCGTACTCGTCCCACGAAATCCACTTTGACCCGGAATGCACAACCCGACACGACCACTACGACACGTTTTGCAACCATCGCGTGTTGCTCAACGACGTGTTTGCGTTCACGGGCAAGATGGCCACTGACGCGGCGGTCCAGGCGCTGTTTGCAGCGGCGCCCAACGCCCGCGACGTGAACGAGATTGTGTTTTGGACATTCACCGTTGACGAAACCGGCACGCAAGCCGTGACCCCGACCACCGAGTTGACGCTGACCAAATTCAAGACCAAGGTGACGTTCCAAGCGCACACGGCGTGCGGCGCGATCGCCAACGCGGTCGAATGGACGCTATACGTGCATCGCCACGAGCGCATCGTGGTCACCCACTGGCTCAACGGGTTGTTTTCGACCCGCGACGACGGATGCAATGTCGAAGGGTCGGACTTTGGCGTTGTTGCATTCAAGTACAGCCCCGCCAAGGACGGAGATTTCACGGTGAACGATCCGTCCAACCCTTTGGTCGCTGCTGCGCTCTTGGAAGATAATGCGTCGTCCGACGTCGATTACACGCCCGTCGGCCAGGAAAACACAATCGAGATCCTTGGCCATGCCGACCCGACCGCGGCGCGCGAAGACGCCGCCGTCACTGCCACCTCAAGTAGTGGTGAAGCGTCGGATGCGGTTCATGCCGACGACGGTGGCGTCGCGCCCACCGACAGCGACGCTTCATCGACCGTCGATGAACCGCCGTCCGTGTTTTTGGCAAACAGTGGCGGCGACAACAAAGACGAAGTCATGATCCAGTGGTTCCTCCGTGGGATGAAGGGGGTGTGGCAATACAACAGCGTTCCGACCGCGTCCGCTGCATGGATCGACACGCTCGCCGTGGCAGGCGCGCAAGGCGCGGTATCCCAGGAATTCGCCATCAAGTTGCAAAATGCCGAGACGACCAAGGCCAAGGCGATCTTTGATTTCATGTTTCAATCGAGAGCGTCGCTGCTCACGATGAAGCTCGAGACAGTGGCCACCGACACATTCACGATGCACAACTGCGACTACCCGCGCTTCAATGTGGCGCACCCGTCGGACCAGGGCCGATTCGTCAAGGACACGTGCGACAAAACGTCGTGGGAAGCGTTCAAGGCGGGCGGGTCGTCGTGGCAGCCCGCGCCATTCCAAGCATGCGGCGGCGTGCTCGTGTTTCCAACGGGTGGCAGCGCCAAGGCGACGGTGCTCGAGAATATCCAGGGGAGCCCGTTGACGTGCTGCAACCACAAGGAGCTTTCGGAACCGTTCACGTGCCAGCGTCTCAAGGACACGTCTTCGATCTATCGATGCTCGGACGACCCAGTCATTGCGACGCTGTACCAGCGCGATGGGTACAACCAGGGGAATGCCGTGCCGCAATCGTTTGGTGTTGGCGAAAGCGACGTCCGAGACAAGCAAACGTCGTCGATGAAGCTCGTCAAGGGGTACGAGTTGATCGGGTACAAGACCGTCGTGGTGGCTGGAAAGCCCAAGGAACTGTTCAAAACGTGGATCGGCGATGTCGGGTCGTTTGAACGAGGGAGCGACGCCACGTCGTGGAATGGCAAGATCACCCGCGTCAAGGTCCAAAAGGTGTCGCCCGGAAATGTCGTGCAGTTCTTTGCCGAAGCGGGGTATCGAGGCGCCGCCACGATGTACGGCGCCACGGCCGTGTCCAGCGGCGTCCCGGACGTCCGGTCGTTCCATCTGCAAGACGGGTACGAGATCCTTTTGTACCGAGACAAAAACTTCAAGAGCTACGTCGCAACGTACAGTCGGGACGTGCCGGACCTGGACTTTGTCAAGTTTCAATCGTTCCAGGTGACTAAAGCGACGCCGCCGTTGGTCGCGGCGACGGTCGCATACATCCAGCACGCGCCGGCCGTGGCCTTGGTGGTGGCGGCGGCGGTCGTTGCGGTCGTGGTCAAACGCCGCCAAGCAACGTCGACGCACATCGATGTCGAAGCGGGCTACGTGTCATTGATCCATTAGCGCCGCCGTCGACCGATCCAAGTGTGTTTGTGAGTCTAGTTGTTGCATCGCGATCAATCCACTCTTGCATGTTTGTGGACATTGTCGTGTTCAGGATGCAGTGTCGGGACACGCAGCCGCCATCCATGGCTTCGGTCCCTCGCGCGCTCCACCATGATGCGTTTTTACCCATGCACTCGTCGGTGGGCAGCTACAATCCGATCGGGTCCCCCACTGTCTTGGTTTCCCGGCGGACCACGAGCCGCAGGCGGCAAGATGCGAGACTTCCTGTGCCCGTTGAAGTACTTGGCCGCCACTCCATCGACATACATGCCTCCACGGGCATGCTCGAATGGACCGACGTCCTGCGGCTTCGTACGAGCAAGCATTTGGTGCTTACTGCGCTGGTTGACCTCGGACGCTTGGCGCCCCTCGCACGATGACTGGATAGTACGTACGTCGATCGGTCGCCGAAGTTACTTAAGTCGTTTTATGCACAGTTGGAAAAAACCCTTGAGGCCGCGGAGCCACTCCTTCTGCAGGGCCCACTGCGACGACGTCAGCGCAACGTGCACTTGTTGCGCCGCTTTGAAATCGCGACGCTTCAGAGCTGCCATCATGTCATGGACACTGCGGAGCACAGTGTCCGACAGATCAGCACTGTTCAGCTTGGCCACGAGCGCATCCTTGGCCTTGGACGCTTCGGCGAGTTGCTTGGTTTCGGCACTCGACAACTTTTGATACGCGAGCAGCGTGAGCAGCTCCACCAGCGTCTCGACAATCACAACATCGTCGTCCGAAATATTTGCCATCGCAGGTGTGCGAACAAACGGCGGCATGTCGACTGGGGGACACAATGTGACGGACACAGCGGGTGGCGTCGGCGGCGCGGCGTGAAACAGCGACACGGGGGCTGCTTCTGGCGCTGGTGGAGTTGGTCCGGGGGACCCAGCGGATAGATCGCTCGACGCGTGCACATCGTACAATGAATTGCCTACGTCGAATGCCTGGGAGGGTGGGGCCGGCGACGTGGAGCCTTGCGGACGAAGGACAAAAGTTGCCCCGGCATGCCCTCCGTCCGACGGGAATGACGTAGCGGGACCACCGGGGTGTACAGGGTCTGCATACCCTTCGACGGACTGACTTGTGTCGAGCCGTGCCAACGGCACGGTCGGGTGGTAAACGTCGGGTTTGACTTGCGGCGGATGCAGAGGGGGCGATGGGGCTGGCTGAGACAATGGCGATTCGTTGTGAGCCGCTGCATCGTGCGGAGCTCCATCGTACGAGTGGCTCGTATCGATCTACACGCCATTATGAACACGTCTCCAACTCGACACAACATGGAGCAGTCGAATTCGTTTGCGCACCGGAGTGAGCTTCATGGGCTTGGGCGGTGAGAACCGGAAGGACCCTGTCGACTTGGAGCTGCGCGTGGTGGTTGTGACGTGCTTGGAAAACTTGCGCGCAATGCCGGCTTGGCCCCACGAGTGCAGCTAAGTTGGCATGGTGAGAGCTCTCCACGACAAACGAACATACCAGCGCCGCATAGTCGTCGTAGACAGGTGTGTGAAAATCCGGCGGCTGGCCGGTGCCCTGTGCCAACACGTGAATTTGCTCGACAACGTTGACGAGTGCCATGGGATCGTGGGAGTCGGCAAAGGGCGTCGGCAGGGTCGCAGTCCAAATCTCAATCGTTTTCGTCATGTTCATCGCGCATATAAAGCATAAACTCGCCGCAAACGAGTCGCCGGCATCAACGAGGCGCCACGCGAGTTGGTCGCACAACGCAGGAAATTCATCGCTCTTGGAATACGTGCTCAAGATTGCCAGCGTCTCCTTCCACGCCACCGGGTCCGACTACCATGGAAAATGAGCCCATTTCTCCACGTGGACCAATGTACTTCAAGCACAAGGGTGTCCAGCTCGTTCTTGATGATCGCGGCGACACTTTTCATGAACGGGCGGGTTTGTTTCGCAAAAAACGCTTCCTGCGTGCGATGCCACAGCTCGGGGCCGCCACATGTCGCCAGAAGCAGCGCATCGGCCAGCTGATTGTTGGCCAGGCACACGTCGACAGCAGCTTCAAAGTTACCCACCTGCAATTGCACCATGAAACACCAACGACCTGACAAAGCTCAGACATACCAAGAGCGAGCGCTTGATGGACGCTTCCGACGCCGCCGTGAACGCAGGCAACGGACTTGTCTCGATCAAGTCTTCGCGTTCGTCTCGGGCTTGGGTCGATGGAGAGGGCGGCTCGACCGCGCCATCAAATCCAAGGTGTACAAGCAACTGCTTGCGCGCGTCGTGCTCAAACAACACCTTGAGGAAGCTCCACGTCTGGCGCGCCTGTTGGTCGATTTGGCAGCGACTCGATTCGAGTTTCCAATCACAAAAAGCTTCGGCAGTCATCGTGTCCAATTGAATGGCAGCCTGAGTGAGTTCGTCGACGGTCGCGGGCGGGCAACGCGATGAAGGTTCCGAAGGAGCGCCAGTTGGGCCATCACGAACGTTCGCCGGAGGGACTTCATGGCTTGTAGCAGTCGAGGGTGTGTGAACTGGAGCGTGATCGACTAAGTCGATCGGGCTTGTCGCCGCAACATGCGAACGCTGAAGCGGGGTTGGCCGCAAAGTGGCCAAAGATGCAGCATCCAACTCAGGTTGTGCCGACACAGTACCAGGCGTAGAGATGGGAGCATGAGAAGCAATGGTCGTTGGGGGCTCAGCGACATCGGTGGAGTCGCTTGCCTCGTGTGCTTGTGCTTGGGAAGGCAACGATGGGGTCCATTTCAAGACGGAAGACGCACCACCTAGACACGATAGTGACTGCGCTAGCTCTTGGCATGTGTCATGTTCCTACCAGCGGTTGCATGAACGACGTGGACGGCGTCGTCCTGGGAGATTGTATACGCGACAAGGCCAGCAATTTGAGGAGAGAAGGCCAAGTGGCAAACTGCCACGTGCTCGGTCGGGGTGGGGACTTGGTACAAAATCTGTCGGGTTTGCAAATTCCATACCAACGTGCGGCCATCGGTTCCGCTTGTGATGAGCAGTCCTGCACGGATGCCCGTCAACAATGAAAAAATGTACTTGAATGCTATGTGCGACGAACCAGAGCCATGGGGACACCACGCCGCGGAAAGGATGCCGCCTCCGTTGTGTCCATGCAACTCGACAAGCGGGACCGAGTTGCTCGCGCGCAAGTCCCAAATGTGCACGACGGGCGACGACCGCGATGCGGTGAGGAGAAGGAATCCTTCATGCGGACTCCATGCCAAAGACGAGATCGGACCGTACACGGCCACATTAAAGCACGGTTTCTTCTGCTTGAGGTCCCATACCGTCACGTGGCCACTGCTGTCGCCAGCCGCCAGAATATAAGGCGCCGTGGTATTCCACGATACGCTGGTTCGGCTGTTAGTACATGATAGAGCATAATCGTGATATACCATGTGATTTCGGACGCCGGACCAGCGGATGCCGCGACACCAGGAGAAAAGACCCCAGGAGCCGCGACGTTGTTGAGAGACATGATCCAGACATCCCCGTCCCTATAATGCCGTGAATGCACCGAGAAGGAGTCGATATAGTATGACGTACGCGCCGCCTGATGCGAGCAAGTGGGAGCTGTCCCTGTTCGGATTGAATTGTAACGAGGTGACGGCGCCCTTGTGTTTGGCAACCGTGCTGACGGGGCCGACGACTTGGTCCGATGCTGTCGAGAGGTGGGCGGGATCCCAAATGCTAACTGTCCCGTCTTCGAGTCCTCCAGCCACGAGACCCCACGGATGTGCTTGAACGTGCTTTGCGGCACGACTCCAAGCCAGTGTACGGAAAGGCGCGGTCGCGGTCACACGACCCACAGCGGGTGGGGCGGCATTCACCGCGTTGAAGTCTAGGGACACAAGATGGAGCTCGCTCGCGCTGTTGCCCAAGGCAAAAAGGTTGTCATGTTCCTTCACTGGGCTCCACGCCGTCGCGGCATTTGCTCGGGGCTCCATCGGCGATGTCAGTCGGAATGCAAAATCAAACTCTATTTTTTCCACTTGTAGCGATCTGATTGGTCAATTCTAAATATATTTCGACAAATGAAATCGTTCGATTTTGTAACGGCATCGTGGAAGGGGCGACGGAACGAAGCGTTGGCGCGCATCTGCAGCGCTGTGCTGCGGTAGGGCGCTCTGGCTTAGCGCCGGCCGAATTGTGCGAGAAATAGATCCACGTAACAGCATGATGGCTATTGCACTTGCCAGGGAGAGTCCGAGGGCTGCTAAGGGGTGCGTCTCTTCCCCGAATAATCTCGTAATACCCATAACGACCTGACCAAGACAAAGTCATTGACACGCACGACTTCCAGCGATCGATCTGGTTTCTCCACCTGGTTTCGAGTCGCTTGGCTCGTGAACTGAGCCACTCTACCATGGTGCCGCACTGTCTCATGTTGGCTTTCGTCGTCCCCACCGAGACGTGTGGAGATCAGCTTGTAGCTGAGACCGCTGAAATTGACTTGACCTGGCTCATCTTACGCGACGACTCCACCATGGATGGTCTTGCCACCGCTATCTGTATGCGCGATGCCAGTGCATTCTTCTCGCTCTTGACTGCTGAATGGCTAGCCAGCTCTGTAACCATCGCTTCCCCCAACCAGGTAGCTCTCTGCTCGTCCATCGAGTGTATCAATCGGACCTTGCCACCTATCACTTCGTCTGCAGCAGACTCAAACACCTGCAACGTTGGGGACCGCGCTGGGAAAGTTGCAACCTGCCTTCACACAGCCATCAACTCCAAAGCCAGGGGGCCGCGACCCCGTCGTAATGCTTGATCCATGCATCCTGTGCCTGCCGCGCGACACCATACGTGCACAAAAACTAGTAGTATTACTATTCCAAACTCAACGCATGCACGCGACCACTCTACACTCTCGCTAGTAAGTAGAGGCCTCGATCACATAGTACTACTAGACGTTGGGTGCTGGCGTACGTCTGGCTCGTGCTCCGGACGTTGGACGGGGGTGTACAGTTGCGTGGAGATGCCGCTCGCGACGCGGTCGGACGTTTCTCCACTTTTGTCGATGGCTGCGTTCATTCTTTGTCGATTGTGGCTGGGGCGGTACATGGAGGTAGAAGAGGCGGAGATTGTACTACCACGCCGGCTGCGTGTGGACGCTGGAATTCACGCCGACGAAAAAACCCCGTTTTCTCCAGCCAGATGGTGTGGGTCGTCCGGTGCGAAAAAAAGAAACCCATTTTTTTTGCGTCGGTGTTTGGTGGTACATTCAACAAACGACATTCGACAATTTCGGGCGGCGCAATCCGGCCATGAAGCGAGTCGAGTCGGCGCCGCAGCTCAGCGACTCGACCGTGTGTCGAGATGACCTGAAGCCTGGTCACGAGTGGATCGACGACACAGACCGCAAGTGGTGCAAGCTGTGTGCTCGAAAGTTCAACGTGTTTCGGCGCCGACACCATTGCCGCATGTGCGGCGACGTCTTTTGCGACGCGTGCACGACGTTTGTCATGATCGTGGTCCGCGAGGAGCACAAAAACTCGGTCCGTATCTGCGGGACATGCATATCGTCCCACAAAGCCAAATACTCGTACCGAGCCGGCCCGTCCTCGACGATGCAAGAGTCCACGCCGTTAGAGCGCGCCACCAAGTCCGTGTCCGTCCCAAAAGTCCCCAGTGCCGCTGCCTCCATTGCCGTGTCTGCCCCAGGCCAACGCCATCACCCGCGACGTCACTACGCGACTGAAGATAGTGCGCAACAGACGTGTCGGCATCGCAAGTCGAATTCCGCCCACCTGTCGACTCTGTTGGATGAATCCACAGCAGCGGCTCTGTCGTCCACGTCGACGTGGCACATGTACGAATTGTTGGACTCATCAAGCTTTCCCGAGACGTATCCGTGGTCATACATGTGGCCGCACCCACCGACCCCGATGTTTGAGGCCCAGCGCCTCGACACCATCCGCTCGGCCTGGGCCAAAATGACGTCGGGCACGATGCCAGACAACTTGTGCGACTTGTTGTGCAAGGGATATGAATGCCCCATGGCAGCTGTGTCGGTCATAGATGCATCGACGCAACACTTCCTTGCAAGAGCAGGGATTGTTCACGGCTCCATCGCCCGCCACCTCTCGCTGTGTGCTTACACCATGTGCGGCTTGGATCCATTCGTCGTGCTCGACTTGGCCAACGACCCGCGCTTCAGGAATCATCCGCTGCTGACGGAGGCGAGTATTCGCTTCTACGCTGGATCGCCGATTGTGGCGGGCGACGGCATGGTTGTTGGCACCGTGTTTGTCATGGACACCAAGCCGCGCAAGACGTGCTTCGATACTTGCTTGACAAGTATGGCACGGATGGCGATGCGACATCTCAACGAGATGCGCCAAGCCGCACCGAACGCGCTGCCGTCCATAGCGCAACAGCACTCGACAGACGTCACACCACGACAGGTCGAGAACATCCTGCACAACTTGCTGTCGAAGACGAACGACATCCAAGAGCAGTTGCTGAGACGGCGGCCGCTCCCAGCAGCCTAGTTCGCACCGTCAATATTCGTCTCCGTGCCATAACGTAGTAATTACGTACACCACATCTCCACGGCTTGCGATCCTGTCGTCGTATTTTTCGAAACCGCCGTGGAGTACCGTAATAACGGCCGTCCGACGCCGGTGCCGAGTCCTGGGTACCGCATGGATGAGCTCGATGCTCGCCGGGATCGGTGGATGGCGGCGCTAGGTCGTGTGGTCCGAGCAGTGCAAAGCCATCGTGCGCACCAATGGATGTTTCGGATGTGGGTGTTGCATGGGCGGCCGCGGTGGCGGTGGCTTTTTGAAACGATCACTGCCACAGGGACCCACGATCCCGAGGAATCGTGGACCAAAGACAAGCTGATCAAGAACGACGTGTACCGAGACCGGCTCCTCGCCCAGGAAATCGCGGCGTTTGTCGACCTCGGCGACGCGCTCGGCATGACAGGCGCCCAGCGCCATGCAATGTTTGAGAAATTTCTCCACGTCGACTGGATGCGGCGCAGTGCGATCTCTGTCCAAGAATTGTGCATGTACTGTGGCTTGCGACGCACGCGTTTTGCAGACTGCATCTTGCCGCTTCCGCGAGCCAACGACGGGTTCCGCCAGTTCCACCATCGCTTCGAACTTGTACAGCTCATGGCGGCGCTCTTCAACGTGTGCACGCTGCCGGCCGCCAAGGTGGTTTCATCGTATTTTTTAACCGAGGGATTGTCGGTGTGCTCACGCCGAACCGCTGTAGCTCGTCGCGTGGGTCGTGGACCAGGCCAAAGTCGACCCAATTGTTCAGACCCTCGTGCCCGACTGCGACAAAAACCCACCATTGCGTCTTCAGCTCGCCCAGCTCCTCGTATTCGTCACCGGCACACTAACACCCAACGAAAAGTACCTGAAGTCAGCCTTGGAATCGCTGTACTTGTCTACGAGCGACACCCGAACCGCGTCATCCCATGGTATGACGACGCTCGAGTCGTTCTTGCGGCGATTTCCAGGTCAGTTGGGCAGGATTCCCACGAGCCGACGACGCGCCTAACGCTGCATGGTTCTGGTAGTGCTCATCTTTCCCGTGTTTTGGCTCCAACGAACGTTGCGTCGGCGTGTCATGGGCACCAAATTTTGGACGCAACTCCAAGCCAAGAGGGCAAGTTGGGGAAGCAGCCAGATCTTCTACACCCCCCTTGAGTTGATGGAAGAAGCCAGGGCATATACCCTGGCAGATACTGGTGGCATGCGAACCAAAGACGACGGTGAGATCAACCAGACGGCCACCAAGTCGACGCACTTGCTTGCCAAGGTCCTGCCAGTGGCCACACAAGATGCCGACGAGAGCAACCTAGGGGTGGAGGACGACTCCGAGTCGTTTGAACTTGCCGCAACGATTCAACAGTATTCAAATGAAGCTGTTGCGTGGGAAGTGACTGCGGACAACCTTCTGGCTGCGATCCACATCAAGCAAGTGCAGATGGATGGAAATGCGACCTTGGACAGTTCCAAGGCCGTCGGCGTGGAACATTTGCGGATCATGAAAGCATTGAAGGACGGCACTTTGAGTCCAACGGAAGCAGTGAGCATTCGGAAGAGCATCGTCAAGCAATACGGCTACCATTTTGCGGACTTCATCGTTGGGTACAGCCACCTCAAACCTCAGCGTCGCAACCCAGTTGCCTCACACAAGCAATCCAAACGCAAATCCAACGACGACGACAAGACGAGTTTGCCTGAGAACTGGATAAAGGTAAATGCCTTCATATCGCGATAGGGGGATTCACAGCCCATCGATGATAGCTCTTCGACCAAAGCACGCAACGGACGTTCTACTACAACGCCCTCACAGGCGAGTCCGAGTGGCAAATCCCCCCGCATTGAGGTCAGTACGGGGAGACGTCGCGTCTTCCTTGCCTAGACTTTCCAAGCGGCTTTGCAACAATGCAAGCGGCACTTTGACACGCAGGACCCGCAACTTCAGTCGAAGCCAATCTTCTACACAATGCACACAACATGAACTGGATGTCCTCGTCGATCGCACGCACCTTCCAACGCATTCAACATACGCTCCTTCGCATCCAAGTCCATCCGAAGCGTGTTCATCTGCGCCGAAAGCGCATCTCCGTTCTCCGTCATTCCCATCGCCGCAAAGTTCTATGTGGCTGGTAAATTTGAAAAATGGCGCGAATCTTGTCCAATGGTCATATCCGGATATTATCCAGATACACTTCTTTTCTTGATTTCCGGCAGGGAATGGGAGCATCCTGCAGCTCATGCGGGAGTTTGGACTCGGAATCGACCTCGCGCATGCTCGGCTGTGTAGTATTCATGCGCCATCTGCACATAGAAACCCCTTGTGAGGTAGTGGCTGAAACGCCCGGACGAGGAACGTCGACCAAGACAGTGAGCATCGATGACGACGCCATGGTTGATATGCTGATGGATTGCAAGTTATGCTTTGGTTTTCTGTCGTGCCTTCTTCTTGCGCAGCTTTTCGTATAGTGAGGCCAAGCCGTTGCCGCCGCCGCCGTTGTTGTTTCCATTTGGGTGGTCGTCGCCACACCCGTCGATCTCGTCTCGGTGCTGTCGCGAGTCCATCTCAACTTGCGACGTCACCATATCGGGTAGGATTTTAGCTGACCGCATCTTTTCCAACATCGACGTGCGCTCCATGCACTCGCGATGGACAGTAAGCTGTAGCAGGTGAATTTCGTCGTCTTTCTTGGCAATAGCTTGCGTCAATCGTTGAATCTCGGCTTCGAGTTTGTCGTTGCTATTGTTGTTGCACGGGACTTCCTGAACTACGACCTCTTTGACCACGACGGGATTAGCGCGCGCTTGTTGCAGCTCTTTCGTCGCTGCAGCTAGCTTGGCGTCGGCCTCCATCGCCTTTTTCTGCCATCCCACGAGCTTGTGGTCCCAGTCGACTCGCTCTTGGTCGACCTTTGATCTGAATGCTTGCTACACCAACCATTCATTCAACCATGACTTCGACGTAAGACAGGAATACTAACGTGTGCGGTGTCGGCGTCATGTAGTTTTCGCTCCAGAGCCGACATGGCAGCCTTGTCTTGATGGCCGCTCAGTTTGACACGCTAGGTGGATGCAATGAGCGATGGCGTGTACCAGTGGAAGAAGGTGATAGTGATACCTGAAGCTCTTCCATGTACGACTGGCATCGTGCTTTCGCATCTTCCAGCGCCTTCTCTGCATCGACGAGCTACCGCAAGAACACGTCAACGTCATCGCATGCACCAGAGCACCGCACTCGCTTGGCTGCGACAGCTTGCAACTGTTCGAGATGGGGCACTTTGTCCAGTTTTAGGCGCTGCAGTTCGGCATGCAATTGATCAATCTGAGCTCGATACGTCGCCGCAGTCGAATCCAGCTACTCGCAGCGTTAGTTAGCCATCTCGAAGACGTTGGTCAGCGATCCACGGCCCGTACAACTTCAGCGTTGGATCCTTTCAGAGACGAGACCTCCTTGGCAAACTCCGCCTTGAGTTTTGCAACAGCAGCGGCGTGAGTTGCTTCCAGGGCATCCGTTTGCCTCAAATGTTCGTCCAGCCGCCTTTGCACGACGTCCAGCTGCGTCTAGAACCCTCATTAACGACGGATGACCGCCCGCCGGCCGCACCTTGACCTGCTTGACCCTGTCGTCGCCAACAGCAACTGCTTTTTTCAGTTCCTCGCGCTCCGCCAGCAACAGCGCCTTGTTCTTCTCGAGCGCCGTGACCAAGTGTTGATACTTTGCTGCTGCTTCATGCAACGCGCCAACATCCGCGCGCTCGACTTCAGCATTTGCCGCCACCCGCGCCGCTTCGGCTTGATATTGTGCCACCTGAAGATCATTAATACTCGCCACCATGTCGCTCCGTTCGCCTCCTGCGGACAAACCATTGCTTCCATGCGCTGCACATTGGCTTGAGCCTCCAGTACACTCGCCGCTTGCACCTGCATCCTGCGCATCACATCCGCCAGCTGCGCGTCGCTCTGAGTTGCTTTGGCCTCCCATTCTTGCGCCGCGACGGCACTGCCGTGCACATCTTGCTCCATCTTCATCACCAGCGTCTCGAGCCGTTGTCGTTCCTGCGCTTCCGCTGCTAATTTGACAGAGTGTTGCGACGCAAGTGCCGCGCGTTCGCGGCCCCACCGAGCCTCTGCTGCGTCATGGAGGATACGTGCTTCTCGCAACGCGCTTTCCATCTAGGCGCGCCACCAGCATGCGGGTCAACCCCGTATGCCTACCTGCAGCCTGTACCTCATCGTACCTGCTGAGCGTGTTCTTCAATGCAGCATTGCTTGGTAGCTAGCGCCGCTTCAAGATGCCGGACTTTCGATGCCGATTCTTCGACGCAAGTTTGCCGGATCCCGTCCACCTCGGCCTCCTTCGCGCGCAGCTGGGCTTGAAGCGACTGAATGGTGCTGGTTTGGGCAATGTTTCGTTGGTGCAGTTCGGCGAGTTTGGCTGTCGCGACCGCCATCGACGAATTGAAGCCTTCCGTCCATGTGATCAAGTCGTGGCGCACGGCAGCGTTCGTGGCGTTTTCACGCTGAATCCACGCCGTAAATGTCTGCAACAAAATTGAATGGCACACGGGGCAGGGGAGGGAGGGTACGTCACCTTGCATTGGCGTTCGTACTTGAGCACGCGGTCCTGGAGCTCCTGGACTTCGGCAAACACAAAATAGCTGACGCCGCAAAACGTACACGCTGTGTCCGCAACGTCCATCTTTTGGACGGCGACGGGTAACTTTTCCCGCTTCGGGCCATTGTACAGCTCGTCTTTGGTCGGATCCCTCAGGACGTCGTGCGCATGGAGCTTGAACCCCGACATGACAAGTGCGCAACCTAAAATTAGCCAAGTTCGTTTGAACAAGACAACGTCCCTCGACACGGACGTGTTCGCGATGCGCTCCGACGAGCCCATGCTGCCATGCCTACCTCCTCTCGCCATGGAGGTACGGAGTGTGGCTCGAAGCATTGGAGGTACCCTATAGTATGGTCACACCATGCACAGAACTCCAAGTCGAGCATGCAACCGGACAAGCATGACTCGCCCAAGCAACGTTGCCAAAGACGCATGTTCTAGTCGTGGACGTTGAATGTGTAGAGTCGGTCAGAGTGGAGGGATGCACAATGGGCAGGTGATGGAACGACCGTGTTGTGACGGAGGCGCTACTAGTTACAGGAAGCACTTTGATTCCCAAGACATCGTGCCATCACAGCTAGCATCTGCGAATGATGGGCTCCACCAGTGCAGCAGCCGTACGGCGGACATGCTTGTTATTGTTGTTTTCTATTCAACCAGCACGACGGCCATGGATGACCATGTTCATCTGAGCTGTTTCATGTCTTCCAGTGACAATTACTCGAGACGACTATGCTCTGCTATGCCCCACAATCAAAGCCATGTCACCTGGAGCCTGCCGAGAGTCTGTCAGCATCCTCGCTACACTGCGGCGAGTACGTCGAGTATGGCATCAGGCTTGACCAGCAACAGTGTGAGTTGTCTCAGCACACAGCTGGCGATGCATTGAGCTGGTGGGGCTCCATGGATGAATATGCCACGTGAGATGAGGTCGACCAGATCCGGTCTCGAAACATCTCGCCGCTTTTCAGCCGCCCAATTCTTGCTCGATGCGCCTTCAAGTGGATTGCGAACCTGGCACAACGAACGATCCACTAGCACAGTCGTACCGATTCGTCTTCTTTTTACACGGAGTTGTTGGAACGAAAACCGAGGGCCGGTACGAGCCATGTCTCCAGCAGCACGCCCATGGACCATTCAACGCCGAGTCCCGTAGCCATCGGACCAAGAGCGTTGCTACGTATCGACTTCGCCTTGGTCGATCGTTGTTGAGCGCAAGGGGATCCAAATGGATCCATGAAATTCCCTTATATAGTACAAGGCCTCCAGCCAGGTACAATGTGTGAAGGAAGTGCATGTCGACGGTGCGCTACGTAGCCACGGGTGATTCAACGACGCCCCGGGAGCAAGCGTATCCTTGGCTCGAGACGGGGGACGTTTTTCCCGGGATGGCTCGTGGAAGAGCAAGCGCCGTGCCGTGCAATGCTGCGAGAATTGGCTCGATTTATTTAACGTTTGAATAGGAGCCAATCAAAAGATATCCATCGAATTCGAGCAAGGCATGAGAAATGTACCACCGACGGAGCCCAACAGTCGAGACAGGACGACAGTCATCTCGCCGCCATGGAATAGAGATGCACGACATGCACGAGCAACACATGCACATGGCGACTCGTACGAGCCCTCGGCCATCCGCGCCTCGAAGCCCGCGGATCTCGGTGATATGCCGAGACGTCCTCCACCACATAGCCGCGACACAACGCTTCCAACGAACCCTCTTCAACGTCGTACACTTATTGTTTCATTGCCAAAGGGTACAGCGCTTCGTGGGCAGTCCGTCCTCAGGTGCTTGTACCAGTGTGTAGCTGGTCGACCCTGTTACATCTCCATCCAGCCAGGTCGTATGTCCCATGAGGCCAGACACGCGATTGTAGCGTCATGTAATGCAGCACCCCACCGTTGCGATGCTTGCGATGGCCCACAGCATCCTGGTCTGCTCAGCGCGCCCTGCCTCGTTCGTCCGTGCAACAGTTCACCCACGGCCACCCACCCTGGCTAAAGACACCGCCGCTGCTCGCTTCGGTCGGCTGGTTGACCATGGGACATTTGTGTCTCGGTAGAGAAAACCAGAGAAGCATTCGTGCTGCTTTCTATCTTGGTATTTGTATGCAAACAGGGGCACGATGTCTCCTAACACATCCTTCGTTTGGAAGAAATATTGTCGTCGACATTAAAATATGTTGATGTGGGTATGCAATCGAATAAAAATTCACGTCTCGACGTCAATTGGCCCCTCACCGCGTGTGTGCAATGGCCCGGCGAGAGAGGCCAAACTCGCTATCTTAGTTCCGCTGCGAAAATGCCGCCGGCGAACGCGCTCCATGGGTCGACCCACCACCATGCCGCCGCGGTGGAGTCCTCATCGGAGTACTCGCGCCACAGCCAACACCTCGAGGATAGCCAACACCAGCCCGAAGAGTACGAGATCGACCACCAACTCGTGGCACGGTACGAGCGCCTCAACCACGAGCTCGAGCAAATGTCGCGACTCCAGCGAAGTCGCCATCGCAACCACAGTTGGGACCGCGTTGACAGCACCCGCGGTTTGTCCCGCACGATGAGCGGCATCTTTAGTTCGCGTGGGAACAACAGCACGCGCGCGACAAGCGCCCGAGGGTCGACGCGCGGATTGAGCTTTCGGTTGCTTCCATCGACGACGCCGAGCGAACGCAGCGGGCCCCATACTGTCCGTGGCGGTATCTTCTCGAGCTCTCGTGGCGGTATGGCCGACGTCCTCCTTGCATGACTGACGTTTGTCCAGGCGGGCTCAGCACGCGCGCCGCCAAGGTCGACATTCCATCGCCGTACGAGGAAGAATGGGTCGCTCTTTCCAAGGAGCTGGAAAAGGCGCGCAAGATGTGCATCGAGAAGCGTGCGGTGCAGTCGGATCTCTTGGAAAAGATCGAAAAGTACGAGACGTCTGCGATTCGTCGCTTCTTCTCCGTGAACAAGGAGAAGCGCCTGGAAAAGCTCAAGGGCAAGCTGAGCAAGCAGCTTCAGGAAGCCGAGGCAGCCGAGGAGTCGCTGCTGAAGCTCGAGCGCCGCAGCATGAGCATGTCCGAGGTCGTGCATCACTTCCCAACGTCGACAGGAGTCGCATCGACGTCGCATCCGTCCAACCGCGGAACGTCATCCAAAAGCTTCCACGACCCTTCTCGCGTTCTCGGCCACATCGACCCCCTTGACCAGGAGCTGCTCGAGCGGCAGGAACAGCTCGAGCAAGAAAAGCGGGACATCCTGAACAACGTGTTCAACGCGTTCGTCGTTCCGGACGTGAACCGGCTGAAGGCGCACATTGCGGTCGCCATGTCGGAGCTCAAGGCTGGGGAATCGGTCAAGAAGCAAGTCGAGGAAGTGTACGCCATGTACCGCGCGGCGTTTGCACTGCTCCGCACGGCCCTCGCCTCCATTGTTGGCAACGCGTACCAGCACAGCATGAAGGAGTTCATTCAGGGTCCGTACCCTCAAGCGATCGAAGCCGGACGACTTGTCGAAGGCGCTGCGCTACTCATTCAGCCAGAAGCAAAGCGGAAATACCCGGATTTTGCCCCGACTGTCACGGGCATCCAGCTGCCAAAGTTCCCGACGTCCATGAAGGACTTGGCGCGACCAGGCGCGCTCTTGACCATGGAAGCAGGTGTGATGGAAAGCGCAGACATGGAACGACGACTGAAGCGTGCCGAGAGCGTTGTGGTCAAAATGCAGCAGCTCGTGAACCGCAATCTCGAGTGCCTTGAGCAGTGGCGATCCCTCCTAGAGAAGGACCGTCATCAAGCGGAATCCACCGCTCGCTCCCTCGAGGCCCAACTCGAGAAGAAAATGAACACGTTTGTCCACAGCATGGCGGCGTAACCTACCTCGCCGTCCGTCCGTTCATGGTCAGTCCGATCGCCCTATTAATAATGCCACACACTTGTCCCCGCCGGTACACGCTCTTGTGCTCTCCCGCAAAGGGAAGGATCGCAGCGCGCTCTTCTCGCGTCATGCGCTGTTGCCGGAGGTGTGCAACTAGATCCCGATCGACAATGCCGAAGAAGGCAGCTCTCGAACTGGAACGAGTCGATTCTTTTCTCGTGTTCGAAAACTCGACGCAAGCGAAAAAGTGATACAATTTCTGATACTTTGGCACACCGAACAGTCGATCCATCTGACGGAACGCATCACATCCGCAGACCTGGATGCATGCAGCGTTTCGGGTTGTAGCATGAATGGGCACTCTTCGCGTTTTGCCGAGACGGACGACGTCATGGCGCGCATGTGTCGAGCATCGACGGCGATATCGCGGCGTGCGTCGAACAGGCATTGTACATTGCATCTCAAACCGAGGCAGTCGCCCACAATTGATACTCGATTTCGCACGATTTTTCGGTCAATTTTAACATTTTTCGGGACAAAATGCCCGCGAGAAATTGAAAAAGTTGGAACCACGAAGAACGAGATGGTACGTACGGCGGCGATGGACCGGGCCCCGCTTTGCCGTGACCATCCTCTTTGTTCCAGAGCTCCGACCAGACAGCGGTGATCCGCGGATGCATCAAGCACAAGCTCCTTTCATCCGGTACGTCGTGGTGCTTTCCATCGACCCAACGGTGCGTCGACAGGAGGGAACAAGCTGTACGTGAGCTACTACCGGCAAAAGGTGTATGCCGACGTCCATGAGAATGGATCGATGCAATTCCAAGGTAAGGTATACACGAACGCGACGGCATTGGCGCTTGCTATGAAGCGAACGCTGAACCCGTCGATCAAGACCGAACCGGGATGGATTTCGTTGTTCGCGACCGACTCGAACACATGTCTGAAAGACATTCGAGAACAATGGATCGAGAAGATCACGCCGCCGCCTCCCACGTCGTACGCAACCGCGTCATCCCTAGTTGGCTCCGCGTCGTCGTCGTATACGAAATCGCCCGCAATCCGTCCCAAGCCACTGGTGCAGCAACCCGGTGCCGCTCCATCGACGTCGAGTTCGACAGACGTACGTTTGTGGCCTCCTTCGCACAAGATGGTTCTTCATTCATTCGTTTGTCCGTCGTAGATATGCCAAGCATGCAAGCGCGATCGCGGGTCCCTCCACGTCACGTGCGATGCATGCCACAAGAGCTTCCACCACGCATGCCTTCCCATGATGTCCCTGGTACCCCTGCCTTCCGCTCTTCTTCAGCCATCTCAACTGACTGCATTCGTCCTGTGCGCTTTGGGGTCGTAGAATCCGTCGACTACGCCTTGGTACTGCGACGGCTGCATTCAACAGCACGTACGTGGCACGCCCTGCCGCTCCATTGTCATCCACACGCTTGACGGCTTCCTCTTCCGTGCAGTGCGCGATCATTCTTAAATTTCTCTACGACTTGCGCCACGTGGCCAAGCATTGTGACGCCCCGTTCCCTGCAACGCCTGTGCCCGCAGCGACTCTCCCAGATCGAGAGGCGGCCGTTTGTGACGCCACGGCGAGCGTAGAAGTTGAATCTGCTGTAGTTGCAGACGGCGCCGCCACCGTCGCGCAGCCCCGCCCGACGCTGCTCGCCCACATCAACCACTTAATTGACCAACTGGAGTCGCCCGCGACGCGCATGGTGCGTGCGTATGTTGGTTTGAATGGCTGGCGATTGAATCGAAGGCGTAGAACGTGCTGGCCAACAGCACGGGCGAGCTGCTCGTGCACTTGAGCAACTTGGACATTGCCGCGGGCCTTCGGACGTTGGACGAGAACCTGGCGGCGATCGCGACGGCATGTTCGCGAGAGAACGAGCCGATCGAGGACTCGATCGTGTCGCCGGGCGTCGACGGCATCCTGAAAGTGCTCAACTTGCGCCATGGCATCCTGTCGGCGAAGTTTCACGCCAAGCGGACGACGGCGGCGCTCGCGACGTTGTCCGAGAAACGCAAACGGTACGTGCACGTCGCTGGAATGCGCCGCCCCGTGACGTTCGACGAAGGGCTTTCGTCAAGACCCAAGCCAAGCTCGACGAAGGCTTTCAGAAGGAGCTAAAGGTGTTTAACGACTGGGCTGGCCGCGTGCAGGACGCAACGGATGACGTCGAGAAGCAGCATGTCCACATCACCCACATGAATGCGCTCATCGACAACTCTGTTCGCCACCGCAAGGTACTCGAGCTCGTTCTCGGCCATCGTCGGTTCTGCCACGAACGCGTGGACTTTTCTTGACGACGTTTTGAGCACGCGGCGGCAGCAGCAGCATGATGAAAATGTGCACGGCATGGGGATGCTTTATGGGTGCCAAAGCGCGCTGACGTGGTTCTTCGATTAGACCCTTCGTGCGGCCAGTTTGAAGCACCGATTCATTCCCGCGTATCGCACCGCGACACAAGATTTGTCGACGAGCAGCGACCACTTGCTCGTGACGATTGTCGCGGACAAGCTCCAGGGCCTGGCAGCCTCCTTGAACGAATGGGAGTCGATTCAAGAGCACTTTGAACGTGTGCAGGCGACTTTGATGCATGAAAAGACCCATGGCATGTCGACGAAACACGTCTCGACGACCGAAGCGGCCGACGCCACCGAGCCACCGCTGAAACGTGTCAAGGTCGCGATGGACCTGCCCCGGCCGCCATCGCTCAAGCTCTTGGACCGGCAATTGAATCAAGTGACGAAAACCCTGGCGTCGTTGCAGGTACCCGGGGACGTTGCCCATCCATTCGTCACGATGGCCATAGAGCCAACGAACCATGGCGCTCAAGACCTTGACCACGTTCCAGAATTCGTTTGCACATCGTATTCGGCCTCCGTTGTCTGCCGAGTGGAAGGCGCTGATGCACACCATGGACGTGATGGTGCGCAAGTGCCAGCCAGTGCACGCCACACCCTCCTCGACGAGTCTTGTCGGCGATGCCCCACGCCAAGTAGCGGCCGTCGTGCGTGCACCGAGGATCGTGGCCAAAGTGGACGGCTCGGAACACGTTGAACGGGACGTTGTCGACGACGATGTGGAGCGCAAGGAGCAAGACGAGGAGGATGGGCCGGAAGTGGTGTCGCTCGACGAAGACGATGACGAACCGAATGGCGCTGTCCGGTGCACACCTGAAGTGTACGAAGTCGATGACGAAGACGAAGGCGAGTTGCAAGGGTAATGGCTCGTGTGCATACGTCGTGATGGAAAGATTGAAAATCTCGATGCATTTTGTGTTACACGGCTGATTCGACCGAGGTGGCCGAGTCGGCGGGCTTCCCGGCAGGTGGTGGCGCGGCGACGCCGACGACCGACGTGCGGCGCATCGGTGCCGATTTTGCACCCGTGGGGGGTGGTCCTTCCGTCGGTTCGACAATGTACCCTCCACCAAAGACAAGGTGCTTGGTCGGACTGCGGCTGTCGTGCGAGATGGACCTACCAGAGCACAAACATGTAAAGAGGGGCACGAAAGGAGCTTCACAAATCGAATCGTCGATGGCGCAGCCGTACTTGGATCGGTGGGTGGGAAGAGGGCCGTCGATCGTTTTGAACGCAACGACGGACGTCCTTTTCCCAGGGGAAGCGACTGGCGGCGGTGAATTCCAAGACGACTGTGGCGTGGCGGACGCGCGCTCGGAGAGGGAGGTCGTGGGGACGGTGGCCTGTGGACTGCATGCTGTTGTAGTTGCTCTGGTCACGTCATGGCGATGGGGCACTTCCGACGACGTTGCGGGGGTCGTCAGCGCTGCTGGGACCGCAAAGCCGCCGGGAAAACTTTTGCTCGTCTTGGGAAACAGCTGGAACGTTTGGAGCGCTACCAAACAACGCTGGACAATTAGCGTCGTGCCCAAGTCAGGCGAGCGTACGCTGGGGCTGGTGTGGCGATGTGCATTTCGTCGAGTGCCGACTAAGGCTCGGTGGATTCGGGGATGCCAAGTCGATGCTGAGGTCTGCAAACTCGGTCGGCCGGTGGACATGGGATGCGGTGCCTGCCCGGTGTAACCCTGTCTTCGATTCCCATGCGCGGTCGTTCAGTCTGGCGCGGTGTTAGGCGCAGGCTTCACCACATCGAAGTACCTGGTTCGCGGTGGGCTTAGCTGGGTCATGTACGTGTGCTGGGACAGAGGCGCTACCTTGTTGCACGTGGTTGTGCACTCTATTTATATGTGGCGGGCCTTTTTATTCACGTTGTTGAAATGTCCACGTTATGTCACATCTTTGAAGTGTCCACATGCGTTTCACACATTTCAAGTGTCACTGTTCGAACAAGTTAAAACGCGTGCTTGTACGATGTGTGACGTGGCACGACGACAGCGCGGGATTTAGCCAGGGTGTGATGCTCCCTCACAACTGCCCTGGCGAGCTGTCGCGTGCGATAAATATTGTGTTGGAAGGCGGCGTCGAGGGCGGTCGGCTCCACAACGCTGCGTGGTCGCGTCGGACTGCGCAAGTCGTCGGCACCTTTCGTTCGAACCAGCGTGTCCTTGGTCACGTAAACTGCCCAGAGCAAACGTCAGAAAGGCCCGACAGACGGACGAACGTCTTCTGGTACCGTCAGTGTCAGTGGCGCGGCTCGTGCCGTGGAACCCGGTTTGGGGATTCCACTGGAAAACATGAGCATTCGCCGACATGTCGGTGAACGTTTTCGACGCGATCATGTGGCTCTCCGTAGCGTTGGCAGGTTTGCATTTGGGAGGGGCAGAGGGGATGAAGGCAGTTGGAATCGGCTTATCGCTCCGGTCAACGAGGAGGTCCCAATCCTCGACGAGAAACTTCTTGGCGCACATCGACACCATGATCGGCAGTCCTGGCAAATGCTGATCCGACACGTCTGGGTTGTACGCCACCGCGGGCGACTCTCCTCCATTCGATTCTGCTTGAGCATGTTATGCCTGCTTTAACATAATAAAAGTACCAGACGCTGCGTCCGTGGCTGCACGTGACGTGCTTTGGAGGGTCGCGACGGCACGGGCGAACGCGGCGCTGCGCTGTTGATCTTGCGCTTGCCATTTCTTGGCCAACTGCGCAAGGCCTACACGATCGATGCAAACCCGATTCAGTGGCTGGTTTGATCGACATGGGTACCGCTCGTCGGCAGCAGTGCTCGAAACGCTGCCAAGTTGGCTTGCTTGAGGATGTAGACGTCGGCGGTGGCGGTGACGACTGTTACGTCGACTTTGGCCTTGGCACCGTCCGAAAGGAGCAGCGGCAAGCCCAGCACGCCGCGGCGCGTGACTCGTTCGACTTGGATATCGATGGACCTTTTCGGCGTGGCTTTGAACTCTGGCAAGGCAGGTGGATGCTCGAGCACCGGCTCGTGCCACCGCTGGGTCACTTGAAAGTCCCCCGACACGACGAAGTAGACTGCCTCCATGGGCCGGTCGAATGTGAACACGCGAAAGCCAAAGCTCAGTTCGTGGCGCTCCAGCAAGTCGGAGACGGCTGCGATTTTGACCTGTAGCCAGTCGGCAAAAATGTCGACGGACGGCAGGAACGCAATCTTCTGCGCCTTGGAATAAGTCGCGTAGTGGTACGCCCGAAGCGTGCGCTGGTACACCTGTGCACGAAATGTGATGTGGTGGCGGCGAAGACGATGGGCTGCGTTGGGCAGGTTACTTGTTTTGGGATTTCGATCAGTTCGCAATGGCCGCTCGCGACGGCCGAGGCAGTGCGCCGTGCGTCCGTCGAGAACATCGCGACCTATGGTGCGACAGTCGTCATCGCCCGTGGGCATCACGAGCGCGGCAGCCGCCCACCTCGCCAAATCCATCGCCTTCGGGGATGCAGTATAAGAATTGCCCTGGGCAGACCAACGTCACCAAGTGAACACCGAATGCACTCTACCGAGAAAGGCCGGGTCGGTGCGAATGCACTTCATGGCTTGACCATGGCTCGTGGCAGCTAGCGCCTTGGACTCTGGCGGCATCCCGACGTAGATCCCGACGGTTCCCGAGAACAAAATGTAGTAGAATTGACCGACGTCCCCTTCCATGAACAAGCACGCCTTGTCTGGGTACGTCCGCAGCGCCATGTTTTGCACCACGTCCTCGACGACACTGCGATGGACACCAGCAAACGACTTGGTTTGAATCTCGACTGCCCATGTCACGAGCATGTCGACGTCGGACGCAGTCAACGCCGTCGCATGGCCACCCGCATCATCGGTCGTCGTGCGCGACGACGTGGCGATTGCCTTGCCGACGAGAATCTCCTTGGTAGCGGTGCGGACGCGGCGCACAAACATGTCGCGGAGCCGGTCGTTTTCGGCGATCGTGAACTCGCGCCACTGCCGCAGCGCTTGGAGCTTGCACTTGTTGTTCCAGAGGACGATGACAGCGTTGCAGATGGTCGAGTTCCGATCCAAGTGCGGGGTCGACATGCTATCTCTCGACGCCTGGGACGATGGCGGCAGCGCAGGGGTGCCTGGAGGAGTCGGGAGAGGCATCAGAAGGCGCCGCGCTTGGACCACAGGGTCGTGCGCAAGTGCAGACGCCCGTGTGGTGAGCGACACGTGCTTTTGCGACGTCGGGACGTTGGCCATGGCTTGAAGGAGCTTGAACTGCTCGACATTCGAGAGCAAGCTATTGCGACGACCGGCGTCTCCGCCGGGCCGTCGCGACGGTCCCCGAACTAGCGCAGACGGCGTCGATGGTTTTTCCATGGGACGCGAGAATGCAGCAGAGGACCAAAACGCGGCCGATCACACCGACGCGCTTGACCGCATGAAACGCTGTGCTAAGTTTAGCCATTCGAGCTGGAACATCCACCACGATGGCGTCGTCGGCACGCCGCGAAAGCCACACGTCGATACGAGATGGCTGCAGTGCCATGGACAAGTGGTGCGTAGATATGGCGGCACGTTTAAGCCACTCGATTCCTTCATGGCAACAATGCGTGAGAGAGGCCGAGCCAACGCATTTCCATGCAAGGCAATCGCGTGATGGAGGGTCGCGCATCACGGCAAGGACAATTTCAATCCCATTGTGTTACAGGGGATGCCACCGAAGGACGGGCGTAATCTAGACTGTGACGTGTCCAATGTTTTGGTAGCCATGGACGTCGAACCGCGGATCATCGTCGTCGCTGCTGTCGCCGCCGTCCTCAACGGGATGGTACGCTGTGGTTTTGGCCAGGAGGCTGGCGGTCTCGTCCGAATTGTCGTACGGCGTTGGCGGCACGGGCAAATGGGGACTTGATGGGAAGCGGCTTCGTTTGCGCCGCATGTGGCGGGCAAGTCCAAGCCACAGTGTACCGACTGCAGCCACCGCCACGACGCAAATCACGACGATGCCTACAACGACCCTCAATCGAGTGAAAGCGGCATTTGGGCACGCACTCGTCCAAGCGATGGACCGAGAAAGGAAGACGGTGGTTGGGGTGTAGACAAACATGGATGGCCGAGACATGCCAGGAATGGTCGCGATCAAGTAGATATGGTACCAGCCTTCGTCGAACGAGCGATGGAGGTCGAGGATGCGCCCGGAATGGCCGCCCGACGAGTCGGCAAGAGTCTTGCGTTCCATGTTGGACGCATACAGACACATCGATGGAAGGACGGGAGGCACAGCGGACGACGACTGCGCCGGCGAAAAGTACACGTCGTACGAGCAATCGTCGCAAGTCGATTCGTTCAAGGCAGTTGTGACTACTGTCGGCGCTTCAAACGACATCACGGCCGACGGCGCATCCAGCGTCATGTTGGGCGATGCGTCCGCCTTGAACATGCGAGCGAATCCAGTGGGAAACGTAAGGGACGATGAGAACGACACGGAAACGCATACATCGTCGTCCACGTCGGCCATGACGAGCACTACCACGTCCTTGAGACGACCGACCAAGTGCGACGTTGTGTGTACCTCCTTGGATCGTGTACGGGTCGAGGGTGTAGAATTGACCGTCTCGGTCATGGTACTGCGGGCACATGCTCGGCAGAGTCGACGGGAGTACGCTGGCCTCCTTGACGAACGTGTAGCATTGATCGGCGGACGTGGACAGTGGGAACACAACGTTGTCGACCGTGACAAGCGACACATACATCGAACCTGCACATGCGCTCAACGACACTCCTAGCGACACGTTTCCGCCAGGATCGACTGCCGGGAACAGGACATGGTGCAACGGAGCGAGAGGCAGCAATAGGTCTCGTCCCTTTTTCACATCGACTGGAAACGCATGGGAAAGATCCAAGTTCGACGGGTAGTCGTACGTAGGAAACCTCGATGGTAGTGGTGGCAATGCCGATACGTTAAAGGCGGCACGCGCCGCGCTCGCCATCATGCACAAGGTCCACAGAGCCACCGCTCGCATCCTGTCGGCGCTGCCCATGCTTGAAAGTCGGCAACCCTCATTTTTTGTTCGTCCACAATTTTATTCCAATGCTAGAATACTCATAGAAATCGTAAGGTTAAAATGTAATAAAATACTCTATCTTTCAAAAACCTCCAATGCCTCAACTTGACATGTGATTGGCCACAATTGCTCCAATCAAAACGCTCCAGCCCAAATCCCCAACACTCTGACGATGGGACCTACATTCTCCAAAACGGCCTCCTGCGCCGCCATCGCGAGCGCCCGTGACGGCGCGATCGTGGTCGGCGCCATGGAGCCATTCCAGAAGTAGTGCCAGCAGATCACGTGGGATTCAAAATCGGTGTGTTCGAGGGCATGTCTCGCTTCCATGAGGGAGGGCTACAACTCGGTTTGGTTTGGATCCAAGAGCGATTCCATGTGTTCGCTGTCGTGGGCGCTGCGGTGTCGGTCGGCGGGCGTGCTGTTGGGCCGTCGATTCAGCACCGACCCATGGCGCGCGTCGACAAGATTCAGCGCAATGCCGGCGACAGCTCCCAGCGCCGCTAGAGCGACAAACTGCATTTCGACCCCGGGAATGTACGACTGATGCAAGTCAAACTCGAGCGCGACCAAGAGCGGAATTCCAGCAAGGCCCAAGTTCTACCCACACACGACCGTGATGCCATCAACATTGTGTCCTCCCCTCTCACCTGAATCGATGTGATGACGCCATACGCACTGCCGACCATGTGCGGCTCGACCACAGCTACGCACAGCCACCATGAACAAGTTTCCCGTGCGGTACCGCAGGAACGGTACATGGAATAGATGGCCATAGCGCCGCGGCAAAGACGCAGTAGGCGAGCCCTTGGAGCGACAACGGCAGCCAGTACGTGGCATCAGTCAAACCCAGTAACAAGTGCACAACAACCAGTGTCAGCGCGGCAGCAAGGGCGAGAAAGGCACGGCACCCGACGCGGTCTACGGCGAACCCCATGAACGGGCTCAAAACGGCGGACATGAGGTATGGAACGCTCATCGGAGTCGCGGCGGCCGACGCGGCGGCGCTCTTGTGCTTGCAAAAGTCTCGAGAGTATGTGCCATGCTTCCACGCGTCCGAGTCGCAGTTGATCGACCGTTCGTCGATGTAGGGCGGGAGATGAGAACACAGGTCTTGTTCGGCGGCCGTCGTGATGGTCGAGCAATTTTGGTTGAGCGCCGGCAGCGGCCACGCGAACGGCGGCACCGACGGGCACGATGGCGCGAGGGCGGTACAGTTGTGTGTGGCATACGCCCCAACGTCGCACCGACGGCACTCGATCGGCGGCGACTTAAACAAGTCGCGCTCCATGAGGAGACTGCTGGCGACACTATTGAATGGAATCACGCAGCCATATACGACGAGGCACGACATCGACAGCAACCAGAAGAGCGGACTATCGGGGAGTTGTCAGATGGGCAAACATGGAGGGGAACTGGTGCACCCAAATTGCCGCAAGTCGTTGAAGCTCATGCTTTGGTCCGACTTCTTCACGGGAAGCGACGACGACGAAGGATGGCGTGCGGCGCGCGCGATGGCTGCGTCGGCGCGCTTGTCGATCGGGATGAGCGTCAGTGCCGCGATGAGAGACACGCCGCACATGATGACTCCAACCCAAAGCGCGCTGGACACGTTGTACTCGGACGCGATTTCAGGACTGAGCTCGTTGTTGAAGACGCTGCCGAGGCGGGCAATGCTGAGGTTGATGCCGAGTGCCATCGCTATCGGGTCACAAGAAGGAGGTTATGACGGACATGGAAAAAATCAGAGAATCGGATAGTGTACCCAGTTCCTTGTTCTTGAACCATGATGCGACGAGTGTGCTCTGCGCAACGCCAAGGCTTTCCCCGCCCAACCCGAACAGCACTCGACCAAGCTACCGAGACCCAAACATGAAGGCGATTCATCGATCCAAAGCTAGCTCGGCGCGGTTGTACCAGCATGATATTAAACTGCGTCGTGGAGCACCCGATTGCAAACACAACTTGCCCCGTTGTGATGATGCCGGCAAACTGCGATGGCGGCATCAGCGACGGAGGTCAAGATGAGGAACGAACGTACGAGGAGCAACGTGACGCGGGCGCCGAGGCGATCCACGAGGAATCCGCCGCAGAATGGCAAAATAATGTTGGGGATCGAGTACAGCGTGTACAGCAGGTTCTACCAGTGTGGGTGGAATCCAAGTTGGTATTCGGGAGCATCATACGTAGAGGAACTCGTAGCGGTCGGCAGGGAGGTTGTTGAAGTGTTGCTGTAGCTGACTCTTGAGTGCAGCGGGGTTGTCGAAGCAGTAGTAATTCCCGATCATGAGCGTGCATGACAGGAACAGGATAAGCCAGCGCACGGGCAGCTCGCTCTTCTCCATCCTCGTCGTCTCCCTGTGGAAAATGAAATCTTTCGCGAAACAATTAACATCTTTTTGACCAATCAAAACAGTCTAAAAAATTTTCTTTGCTGTTCTGCAGAACAACCGGGATATTTTGCCTTGTCATGTACCCACACGTGGGACTACCTAGTAGTACTTTGTAGATCGGCCACCACTAGTACTTTATAATTGTACTAAACGTCCGAAACGCCAGGATGGACAAAATCCGACAGATTCATGCGGTGCAATGCATGCTGGCGCCAGTGCCGCTACCGTGGCGTAAAGGAGCTGCCTTACCTTGGTTCACAAAGTAGTGCTCAAGCCGTCCGCCCCATCTAGGGCAGGTCACGGCCATACCTACCCTCCAGTGTAGCATACCAACATATCGTTGCAAGAGGAGTCCAAGTGCAGCTTCGCGCCATGGCGGAGTGCGCGCCGCATGTCCATCACCGCCAAAGCCACGACCACAAAGGCAAAAATGGTGTCTGTTCACCGGTGCTTGGATCGCAAGGATGCCACTTGATCGCGTTGCTGCCTTTGAACGCCGATGGGCGGAGGTGGAATGGTCGAATGAGGTGTAACCGTTGCA